GTAGTTAAGAGCACTTACTGTTCTTGCAGAGGACCAGAGTTGGGTGCTGCTGGCAGTTTTCTTGTCCTGCCAGATCCTGCAGCCACTTCAGCCCCAAATAAACACACAAAGACTTATATTAATTATAAAATTATTGGCCGATGACTAGGGCTTCTTATTGTCTAGCTCTGTGTTTTTTGTTTGTTTTGTTTTTTGAGCACAGGGTTTCTCTGTGGCTTTGGAGGCTGTCCTGGAACTAGCTCTTGTAGTTCAAACTCACAGAGATCCATCTGCCTCTGCCTCCCAAGTGCTGGGATTAAAGGCGTGCACCACCAATGCCTAGCTGTCTAGTTCTGTCTTAGTTATTAACCCATTTCTATTCATCTATGTATTTCCTCATGGTCTTAGCGTACCATAGAATGACCAGACCTGTTTCCCTTTGGCTGGCTACATGGCAACTGTGTTTGGCAGGCTCTCTCTGCATACCTTTTCCTGAATTCTCCTTGTCCTAGTCTCGCCTATCTTCCTGCCTCATTGGCCAGACAGTGTTTTATTCATCAACCAATAAGAGAAACATATACACAGAAGGATATCCCCCATCAGTTGGGTTCCCAGAACTCAAATCAGGCAACTTACAAGTGCCGTAACCCAGGTCTAGAGGGAATCCAGTGCTCTGGTCTCTGAGGTCAACCTGCACTCATGTGCATATACCCACATACACACATGCCACACACACATGTAATTTAAAAACTAAGAGAAGGAATCTTCTCTGATGTCTATCCAAGCTTCTCTTGTAACCTTCAACCTGATAGTTGTATTTAAAAGTTCCAAAATGTCTTCTATGATGTTCAGAAGGGGTAGTTGCTGGGGAGATACCCCATTACCAGTTCCAGAGAGACGGACTAATTTTACTATTCAGCTAGACATGGTGGCACATTTGGGAGGTGGAGGCAGGAGGATCAGGAGGAGTATAAGACCATCCTCAGCTACATGGTGGGTTTGAGGTCAGCTAGAGCTATATGAAACTCTATCTCAAACAGAACAAAGCAAAACAAAGGGCTCACCGGGGAGGCCTACATTGGTCTCCCTGGTTCTAACTCCCAAACCCCACTTTCCCTGACCATCCTTCACAGAGTGGCTTTCCTGTGTCCCAAGCTTGAAATCTCTCAGTGGTTCCTAGGGCTGTCCTCAGGGCATTCTTCATGATCTGGCTGGCTGTATGCCTTCCTCCTGGAGTTGGCCAGCACACTAAGGCTGTGGAGAAAGACCACACAGCCCACACTAGCTCAGTGCTCACAGTCTTTGTAGCTGCCCCTTGGCTCAACAGCACCAGCCCTGTTTCTGGCCTGAGCCCTGCACAGACAAGCCTGAAATCTGTCTGACACCGCGATGGTTTGGATGAGAATATACCCCTTAGGCTCATATATTTTAAAGTTTGGTCTGAAAATGGTGAACTGTTTAGTAAGGGGATTAGGAGGCATGCCACTGTTGGAGGAGGTGTGTTGCTGGAGGCAGGTTTTGAGGTTTCAAAAGCCTATGACAGGCAGAGTCTCTTCCTCTCTGCCTCCAGATTTTCAGATAAGATACAAAACTCTCAGCTACTGCCCCAGCACCATGCCTGCAGCCATACTCTCTGCCATGGTGATCATGGACTCATTCTCTGTAACTGTAAGCCTCAGTAAACTATTACTTTATAAATTGCTTTGGTCATGGCATATCTTCACAACAATAGAGAAATAACTAAGACACCCTCTCACTCCTCCTTGCTGGACTAACTCTTCCAAGTCCCATCAGCTCAGACACAAAGTCTTTCTTAGGCTTTCTCTGGAGTTCATGGTTAGCCCTGAGCTCTTTGGCACCTGTGTTGAGTGCTAACATAATTGTTTTGTTTGTTTGTTTTGAAACAGGGTTTCTTTGTGTAGCCTTGGCTGTACTAGAACTCTGTAGATCAGGCTGGACCCACCGTCCTCTGCCTCCCGAGTGTTGGGATTAAAGACCACCATCACCCAGCACTCACATAATTCTTAGCATATGATGTCCAAATTATAAGTGGATCATCAGTCTGAAGGGCAGAGCAGGGACCAGGGCGAGAAGCTTGTCTTGGGCACCTTTGGATTGGAGTTACAGTATGTGTATTGTGGGCACTCAGAATACACGACCTGTTCAACTCTACTGAAGACTGATAAGTATGGGATCCCCGGTAGTGGGTTTCTCCACTGATGCAATAAGCCAAATCAAGCCAAATTAATAATACCAGATATAATATGAACAAAGCACTCCCAGGAAATCTCCAGGTAAGGAAGAGGCTTACCCTGTAAGCCTGGGGAGGAGTTTGGGGAGGAGTTTGGGGGAGGAGTTTGGGGAAGGAGCTGCCTCTTGGAGGGCTTTCTGAGGGGCAGGGTTCGGAGAGGGAGAAGTGGGGGAGTTGAGGGGAATCTTCCAAGAGAACATAGACCCTGAAAGCAGCCTGGTCTATTAGTCTCCAAGGGTCACTGCAACAGATTTCCTCTGCCTGGGAGGACTAGTCAACAGAAGCCTGTGATGTTGCTGTTGTTAGACAAGGTCTTTCTCTTCAGTCACGACTCTCCTACCTCAGGAGAGCTGCCGTGTCCATATTTCTCACAGTTCAGTAAGTTTGAAGTAGAAGATCAAGGTAACAGCAGATTTGATTTCTGTGGGCCCTGTCTCTTCAGGTTGCAGATGGTTGACTCCCTGCTCCTCAGTAACAAGTGAGATCTGGATGTCTTACTCCCCCCCCCCCCACAAGCATGGTCATGCACTGTGGCACAGCCACAACTCCTACCCCCCATACATAAATAAATAAATGTAAATTAAATTTGTTTTATTTTATTTGTGTATATGGATGTTTGGCCTGTATGTATGTCTGTGTACTTACATGCATCCACAGAGGCCAGAAGAGGGTGTGAGAATCCTTGAATTTAGACTTACAGATGTTCGTGAGCTACCTTGTGAAGGCTGGGAATTGAAACCTGGGTTCTCTGGATTCTCTAGAAGAGTAGGTTGTGTTCTTAATCACTGAACCATCTCTCCCACCCCCAGGTTGTGTGTGTGTGTGTGTGTGTGTGTGTGTGTGTGTGTGTGTGTGTGTGTGTGTGTGTAGGAGTCTGTTCTTTCCTTCCACCACGTGGTTTCTGGAGTTAACCCTCAGGTCCTAAGGGTTAGCAGCAGGCATCTTTATACAGGGAGCCTCCTTCATTGGTCCCTCTTTTGAAGGTCAGCTTACCCTGAGCCCATACTTCTTCTCTGGAGCCTCATCTTGCATGTAAACAAAGGGTTTCTCCCTCCCTTTTATAAAGGATGCTCAAGGTGTTTTATAGGTCAAAGGTTCCCTCTTCCAGTAGGGAGATGGACAGACGGATGCAAAGGAACTGTTTCTCTGAGAATTGACACTTGTATGTTTTACAGATCAAAGGGCTCCTCTCTCCCTTCTAGAAAAGGGTCTATAATTATTTAAAAACAAGCCCTCAACCTGCACCTGGTGGGATGTGATTGTAGCCCTTAGACTTTAAGAACACTAAGGTGCTTCAAGTCTCTACCAAGTCTTTTTCTGAGGCACTTGCCTGCTCTTACTCACCAGTTGATAAAAAAACCCTGCACACTCTTAATAAGCATGGTGATCTGTAACCTTCTCCCTTCCTCCCCCTCTCCCCCTCCTCTCCCTCTCACCCTCCTTCCTTCCTCCCTTCCCTCTCTCCCTCCTTCCTTCCTTCCCTCCCTTTCTCTTCCTCCCTCCCTTTCCCTTCCCCTTCCTCCCTCCCTCTCTCCCTCCCTTTTCCAGTACTGGAGACTGACCCCAGAACTCTGCTTATGTTGTAACAGTAAGCTACGTCCTAGACCCTAATATTTTGAGACATGGTCTCAATATGTAGCCCCAGCTGGTCTAGAACTGACGATCATGGGTGTGCACCACCATGCGCAGCCTCTCACTCTTCTTGTAAGGGTGTCAATCCTACTGCATCTGGACCTCACATTTATGACTTCTATATCCCTGACTACCTTGTAAAGCCCTGTTTCCAATACAGTCATATTGGGCCTAGAGAGAATTTTCAGGGGTTAAGAGTACCAACTGCTCTTCCAGAGGACCTGGGTTCAATTCCCAGCACCCAAATGGCAGCTCACATCTGTCTGAAACTCCAGTTCCAGGAGATCTGATACCTACACACCAATGCACATAAAATACAGTTAAATAAATTGTTTAAAACAAAATAAAGCCCTTTATCACAAGGGCTCCCACCTATGGTTTTGAGGAAACACAGTTCTATTACAATGGCAAACTTGAATTTAGAATTTAGGAGGTCACATAGTTGTGTGTATGAGATTGGGGAGTCTCAGCTTCTCTGTGTTAACACATGGCCAGCTTTTCTGGGACTGTCAAGAGGCTGAAATGAAACCATTTTTCAAGTTAAAAGCTCCTCCCCATATACCAGCAATGACTTCGATGCTCTTTCTATTACTGGTCAAATAGGAAAAATTAGTAAAAGTCTGAAAACTTAGACTTCAAAGCCCATATAGGAAAAAAAATTCAAGCTCTTCTGAGTTCCTAAAGGCAGCCTGACAGATAAGGCTAAGCAAAGAACTGGGTATGTGACTAGAAGCCTGAGACCAGATAGCACACCTCAGCTGTGTCAACATGTCTCTGTCCTAAAGAAGACCAGAGAGCCATCAACTCGAGGTTATAGGAATCCCTGACCCAGGAGATAATTAACAAACTATTTCCTCGAAAATATCCTGCTTAATTGTATCCTGCCTAAACATAGTTATTGTTTTACCCTAAGTAACCATGGAAGCTTTGGAATCTCGAGACTTTCAGTCTTTAGAACTTTCCCTTTAAAACCTCCCCTTAGCTATAAGCCCTATTCTGCTTGCTTCCGAGCAGGCAGAATCCAGTCTGAAGCTTGCCAATAAAGAGAGCTTTGTTCTTGCATTCGGTGAGTCGCCTCCTTGGTGGTGGGTTTTTTGGGGTCCCACAAACGGGGCATAACACTGGGTCATCTTCAAAGTACATTGTGAGTTTCATTTTATTGTACTATTTCCCCCACTGTGCAAGAAAGTGCTGGCAGCCATAGGAAGGCCTAACAGGGATTCAAGCCCTGTCCTTGCAGTGAGAACAGCAACACATCATGAAAGGACATCCATTACCTAGCTCTTCTCACAGAAGCTGCACAACAGGCCGAGGATGCTATTGATGAAGTGAATGGCCACCAGGAGAAGTTGGAGGAGGCTGATACACACCAGGGTGGAGAAGAAGGCCACGTGCCACACCACAGCCTTAGAGGGCTCCAGGCAGACGGAGGTCCAGAGCGAGCGGTCATACAAATAATTCCTAGCACCCATAACAAGGGGGTTAGACAAAAATAACCAATCAAGGAACTGCAATAGAAAAACACAGGGTTGGAGCTCTGGTGGCCCAGGTCACAGGATTGTAGTTGTGAGGGTGACCGTTACCTGTTGGGCAGGTCTTTGAAGGGATAGCCAAATTTCCAAGCTTGTGTCTGATTGAAGGATGAGACGTCAAACATGCAAAAGGGACCTTCTTTCAAGGCTACTCCAGAAGTGACAAAGCAAACCAAGGCCCCAAGTAGAGCCAGGCCACTTGATAACAGAGCAATAAGCATCTGTAGTGGAGGCAGGAGACAGAGGTTACTCAGAGCTGTGGTCAGGGGCTGGTGGCGTGACATGGCCAAATCTAACTTCTCTGGTGGCCAGGCATTCTCCCAGCCTATCATGGGGGGTGGGGGTGCAGAGTGACACATTCCTTTAAAACATATCCAATGGTGGCTGATGAGGTGTCTGTCCTGGGTAGAGTCAAGAAGAAACTGTTGAGAAAGGTCAGAAAGACAGACAGATAGGCACATGGACCTGCTTGTGGGTCTTTGGACCTCCAGCAGGTTGATACCCCCTTGCTAGTCTACTGTAGTGTCTCAGCTCAGAACTAGAAACCTGCTTGTGCATGTCCACTTTTCTCCTCTAATGACAAGCTATTGGTTTTAAAGCCCCCAAATTCCACTCTTGATCTTTTCTTTTCAAACCAAGCATAAACGGCAGGAAGAAGTTGTTAAAGGGCATAGTCTTGAAGTGACTTCAAGACTGGAAACTAAACGTGCCCCTTGAACCCTCAGCCTTGAGACGAGAATGTGAGAGTTGTGTTAAAGGTGGGGGGGACTTACACACAGACAGGGTGTGCTCTTTCTGAAGTAGCCTGTCATGGAGATGAGAGTCGCCGCCACCAGTACCTGGAGAGCAGAGAAGTGTGTTAAGAGGAGACTAAGTAGGAGCTAGAGAGATGGCTCAGTGGTTAGGAGCATTGGTGGCTCTTTCAGAGAACCCAGGTTTGGTTTCTAGCACACTCAATGGCTTACAATCACTGTTAGTCCTGTTCCAGGGAGTCTGACACCCTCTTCTGGCCTCTGAAGGTCCCTGCACCCCCACATGGTACACATACATATATACATACAGTCAAACAAACACCCATACACATAAAAATAAGTAAACCTGGAAGAAGAGACCAGGTAATTTTTTTTTTTTGGTTTTTTGAGACAGGGTTTCTCTATGGCTTTGGAGGCTGTCCAGGAACTAGCTCTTGTAGACCAGGCTGGCCTCGAACTCACAGAGATCCGCCTGCCTCTGCCTCCCAAGTGCTGGGATTAAAGGCGTGCGCCACCACCGCCCGGCGAGACCGGGTAATTTGCATTTCTAGCTGTTGCACACAGCTCAGCTGTTAAAATGGTCGTAGGGCCAAGGTTGAGCTAGGCCTGTTTTGACTTTTAGGTGCTAACATTCATTTAGCTTTCCTGGTCCCAAGTTAAACTCCAGAAAGCCATGACAAGTTCCCCTATTCCTTGGGCTGTTTATGGACCCAATACCAATTTGTTGGAACACCCCAACCCCCACCACCTCCTAGTGGGAATTCTCACTCATGGAACCCAAGACACATACCATGAATCCTCCTCCCCAAAGCCCAGAGCCCAGCATGGCATGCTTGCCAATGAGGCCCCTTGTCAGGTAGGTCATATCCCAGTTGGGAAAGAGGAGAGCGATGTTGGCCCCAGCAGCAAACAGGGATGCGGTCCCAAGGCTCAGTCCGAGGAAGCGGGAGCAGGTCCGTGAGCAGGCCATCACATGGGGAAAGGATAGCATCCTGGAATTATGGGAGAGTGTTACAGCAGAGCCAGGGTGGGAATACCCAACAGGAGATAGATGGGTTCTGGGAACAGGTCACATCAAGGACAACTGAGGCAATTTTACAACACACTGCCTTTCTAACCCCTCCACAATAATTGGAGTTACATCCTGCATTTTCTGCCAAGCTTCGACCACACACATTTCTATAGTGCATTACATTTTGTGTGTGCCCTATTATAACCAGTGATTATTTCTCTATGCATATGGAGAAATACTCAGCCATAAAAAGAAAGTCCTGATGAATGCTGCAGGTGGCTCATACCTGCAATCCCAGTAATTTAGGAGCTTCAAACAAAAAAATGTAAGAGTGAGGGCTGCTTGGGCTATACAGTGAGTTTCAGGATAACCAGGACTACAAAGAGAGACCTTGTCTCAGCAGCAGCAACAACTAAACACAAATAAAAAGAGCCTCAAACCAAAAGGCATTAGTTAGGTAGCCTTGCTTCTACTTGTGTAAACTACAGTTACAGTAAGGAGATGGTTTCCAGGGACAGCACCGAAGAGGCAGGCTCTCTCCTCAGCGGGCCCCACAGCCCTTTGGTGGCCTGTGATTCCTTCAGTTCATGTTTCCCCTGCCCCCATGCACCTCCCTTCCGGCTGCAGTTCTGGTCTGTGTGGTGAGTGGCCTTTCCCAAACCCTTTCACATCCTTGCTCCAAGTGCAAGGATGTCTGGGTCTCTCGAGAGGAGAGGGGCATGTTAGGGAAGCGGAGGTGGGTGTAAAGAACAGCCTTTACCCAGGGATGCCAGGGACCTGGAAGGAAGGCCGAGGTGAGCCGCTAGGGAAGGTGATGGAGGCCTGCTTTTGAAGCCCTACCTTCTGGCACCAGACTCAGCCCCCCGGCTCCTGTCAGGATCTGACCTGTGTCCAGCTTTGGAGAAGCAAGGCCTCTGGAAAGCATTCCTTCCCACTGTGCTGGGGTGGGTTCGCTTTGTTTTATTTTTTTCCCCTTGTACAGAGTTCCTCATCATCTTGTGATGTAGGCAGTTTTTCCTCCTCGCATTATCTTGCCATTTAAGGGCAGTGCTCCGCTTGTGACACTAACCCACAGTCTCTCGAGGACTGACTTTGTCAGGGCCCAGTAAGGACTGGCATGTTACTGGCCGTTCAGGACTGTGATTTGAACCTGGCCCAGAGTTTAGCACCTGCTCATAATCACCTGTGAATGAGGTCTAACAAGATCCCCAAGTATCAAAACCAGACTCTCCTGTTTCTTCTTGGGAAAGTCACAGGAAGGGGTCGAAAATTATTGAGCCTGAGCTAGGCATGGTGGCACACACGCAACCCATAACCCCAGATTTGGGAAATAGAGGCAAGAAGATTAGGAGTTCCAGGCTGTCCTCCACAAAGTGAGCTTGAGGCCAGTCATGCCTGCAAGAGACCATGTCTCAAAACCTTCCAAACCAAACAAACAAGAAAAGACTCTCAGTGCTGAACTTGAACTTCAGATAATCAACAAATAAATAATTCTTGAAGTCAGGCATGGTGGTGTGTACCTGTTATCCCAGCTCCTTGGGGTTGGAAGTAGGAGATCTGGAGTTCAATGCTAGCCGTGGCTACATAGCATATTGGAGGATAGCCTAAACTAAATGAGCCTAGTCTAAAAAAAAACAAAAACAAACAACAACAAAAAGCCAGGAATTGGTGGTACACGTCTTTAATCCCAGCACTTGGGAGGCAGAGGCAGGCGGATCTCTGTGAGTTCGAGACCAACCTGGTCTACAGAGCGAGTCTCAGACAACCTCCAAAGCAATACAGAGAAACCCTGTCTCGAAAAACAAAACAAAACAAAAACTAAAAACAACAACAAAAAACCAAACAAACAAATTTAGACAAATGGAGGAAAAACTACAAACCTGAGTGTGGCCTTTTGGGTGAGTGGAATTCAGAGAGACCCTACAACTGAACACAGTGAACTCCTGGTGTCTTGGTGAGTGCCGTCCCAAACCAGTCACGATGTAAAAGAGCGGAGAAAGATGTATTACATGTACAGTCAAGGAGAGCAAATGGGGCCTATGCAGAGTGTACATGTGAACTCTGTTAAGTCATCTGAGCAAGCTCAAGTCATAATCTAAAATGAAAATTTAGATACATTTGGGGGTGTGCATATGTAGAAGCAATGGACAGAAAAGTCTCTGGGCATGCTCAGCTTGCAACATAAAGTTTTAAGTGAAAATAAAGGACACATGACGGGGAATTAACACAAGTCTGCCCCTGACGGTGTTGGCCTGCCCATGGGACTCTGCAGTAAAAACAAGAAGGCCCGCTGGGCAGTGGTGGCGCACGCCTTTAATTCCAGCACTCAGGAGGCAGAGGCAGGCGGATCTCTGTGAGTTTAAGGCCAGCCTGGTCTACAGAGTGAGTTCCAGGACAGTCTCCAAAGCAATACAGAGAAACCCCGTCTAGGAAAACCAAAAAAAAAAAAAAAAAAAAAAAAAAAACAAGGAGGCCCTACTCTATCTAAAGAAACAGGGGGCTGTGGTGTGGTTTGACTTTTGCTTCCTCTGTTATGATAAAATGCAAGGGGAACCTTGTATGGGGACCTTGGCGGACTCCATGGCAGGCGAGATTGACCGAGGTAGAGGGACAAACATGCCAGGCAGACAGAGCTTAGTGAGAAGATTTATTAGAAAGGGGAGGGAGGGAAGGAAAGAGAAAAGAGGTAAAGAGACACAGAGAGAGGACAGAAGGAGACAGGAAAAGTCCTGTCTGCCCCCAGGGGAACCGCGCCAAAGAGAGCTTAAGTGAGCGGACTTTTATTTATTTATTTATTATTTTGGGTTTTTTGAGGCACAGTTTCTCTGTGGCTTTAGAGGCTGTCTTGGAACTAGCTCTTGTAGACCAGGTTGATCTTGAACTCACAGAGATCCACCTGCCTCTGTCTCCTGAGTGCTGGGATTAAAGGTGTGCACCGCCACAGCCTGGCAAGGGGGAGGGGCCTTTCTTTTAAAGGGGTCTTTGCACCTGCGCACAGACTACACAATCATGGAACCCTGGGCTGACGAGGGTAGCTACTGCCTAAGTGCTTTCTGCCAGGTGACAGGGACAGGCCAGTATAATGCCAGCATAATACACTCTCCATGACCTTTCCCTTAGAAATCTCAAAATTATCAGAAATCCTTCCAAATACGTGAGTTAGAAGATTAGGAAACAGGTTGGCTCGTTTTCATGTGGGTAGAGACTGGCAGGATCAGAAGGTTAAATTTGGGTTTGTTTGTTTTTGAGATAGGGTCTTTTGTAGTCCTTGAATTTCTGGTCTTTCTGCTTGCACCTCCTAAGTGCTGGGATCTCAGGCAGGCACCATCACGCCCTGTAGGTCAAATCTCAAAACCAGGCTAGAGGAGCCCCGGGTTGGAACCTGAGGTGCAGGCTGGGGAATCCAATCAAATATCAGCCACTGTCTGGGCACAGGAGCAATTGTCTCGGAGGGGGAGCACCAACTCTGCGTCTGTTTACCGCGTTCCCCACCTTCCCCTTAATTCCTCGGCTGATGTTAATCTAATGCCTAGTCTTTGCCCGGCCCCGTGCTAGCGCCCAGTCCCTTTCCTTGAGGACTACAAAGCCAGCAGAACAGGCAAAAGGCAAGGAGAATGAAGTGTGGGAGACGCAGAAGACAGAAGTGTGGTAAAGGCAGAGGCTCACACGGAGACGCTTAACTTTTGCCTGCAAGACAAGGAGGAAGGGCTGTCACAGAGCTTGACTGCTTGGGAGGCGCTGGATGGGAAAGGCACTCTAGGCAGGGACAGAGAGTGGCCTGAAGACCACGGAGAGAATGTTAGAGACCACCCCAAGTCCCACAGCAGTGAAGTCTCCGAATCGCAAGACTGGCGCTCTTAACTGCCAGGCCCTGCTGTTCTGGACATCATTTCATCCGACCCTCTCATCTTGGCTTACCTGTGTCTGAAGGCAAGAGTCAGGATGGGAGAACAACGTGGAGGGTGCCCTGTTCAAAGTGGGCCTTGGCTCCTGCAGCCCCAGCCAGGACTCCTACGGGGCCAGGCTTGCAGGGTCTGTATATATAGAGGTCGCCTGGACATTCACGCGTGAGTGGGGATGTGTGCCCACAGCTGCCCACGGGCTGCCACTGAAGGATCATTCTGTCACAGGCGGACCCTAAGCTTGTGACCCACTCTCTGCTCATTTTCACGTGACTCCAAGGAAGGAAACAAGAGGCCTAGCCTCATGAACTCAATGGTGTTAATGAGTCACGCTGGAGAGCTACCCCAGCGCCCTGCCCCCACACCGGCTGCACCATCCTGCTGTATCATCATTGCTCGTCGAATCTGGACTCCGTGGGAGCAACACTGAGCACAGCCCACCCTTTCTTCCTTCTCGCCTCTCATATTTGACGTCAGGACTGTTCAAGCACCAGGCACCACCCTCTAATAAGTATCACAGTCACAACAAACATTGTATGCTGCGCTGTGACGGGAGCACCAGACCTGCCTTAGATAAACCCTCTTCCAGGCCCCTTGTCCAGGCGCCCCGACACCAAGAAGGGAAGTGGGAGCAGGAGCTCTGTCTCAAAAGCAAAATACAGCAAAACCCCAAATAAAAGCAAATAGCTTAGAATAGTTCCATGGCGCAGTAACAGCAAAGATGTACACAAGAGACTGAGGCAGGAGGACCACCAGTCTGGGCAACTGAGATGACCACCCAAAAACTAAATACAGTTTAGTTTCCACTTCACAGGCAATAAGTGAATTCTTCATCTTTCCAGAAATTTGAAATTCAATAGAGATACTAGGTTGAGTATAACCATCCTGGCAAGGAGGACATGTTGTTTTTTCCCCTAAGACAGGGTTTCTCTGTGTATCCCTGAATGTCTTTGCACCCAGGCTGGCCTTGAACTCACAGACATCAGCTTGCCTCTGGCTTCTGAGTGTTGGGGTTAACAGTGTGGGCAGCCACCCAGGTAGAATGAGGACATTCTAAGGAGGTACTGTGCTATCAGACTACTGAATCAATGGTACCCAAGAAGTCGTAATTTCCCCAGGAATCTCATGCTGGGATGAGGAAAAGTCTGAAGCTTGGTGCCAGCTGGATGAAGAATTTGTCTTTGGGAAGATTTCATGCAGTTGTCACCACTTTTCTGTCCATTTGCAGAAGAGAAGACAGGAGCAGAAGCAACCCTTGACCAGGGCTGCTTAGCCATGCTCTCTCTTCCGTCCCTGTACTGAAACCTAAATGTCGCCAGACTGAGAAGACTTGAGGGGTGGCCGACTCAGTGGACCTCTTTTCCTACTGCTGCCTCACTGATTACATTTCCCTCCTCTGCTTTTCACTAGCACTTCATCTCATTAGTGATGAGGAGTTCCAAGCCTGTCTTGTTAGGGTTCTCAGGGCTCAGACGCTGACCCTAACAACTCTTCCCAGGTTACTTTGTGTGTGTTAAGTTTATAAAAACTAACCAGCACAGACGGTTTATTGAACCCCTTTTTTATGTTATAAAATAGTGCCTCCCTCACAAATTTTGGGACTTAAATAAGATACAAAACACATCTTTTTAGTTCTTTCCTTCTATTCTTGGACCTCAGCCCAGCAAAGGGAATTTTATATATGGTTTCTGTTAGAACATCTTTTATTTAGACAAGTAATATAAATTAGAATACCAATTACCAGTTACCATTCAGCTTTTCAGTATCATTGTTTCTAGCCCAAAGGCTTACTTAATGGCTGGCAATCATGTGTGGGTAGTATACTTATTTTTGATTTTTCAAGACAGGGTTTCTCTGTGTACCTTTGGAATCTGTCCTGAAACGCTCTGTAGACTAGGCTGGCCTTGAACTCACAGAGATCAACCTGCTTCTGCCTCCTGAGCCAGGATGAATAGTCTGTGTACCACTGCCTGGCTTGCATGGGCAAAGCATGACGTGTGGAATAAGGGAAAGGACTGTAACTAGCTTTAAACCATAAAGTGGGGAGCTGGTAACGATATCTGGGTCACTGCTCATTAGAGTCAATTTGTGAAAACTCAATGATTAACTTGCAAGCCACACAATAACCTATATACTGCAGGCTGCCAAGAGGGCTAAATGGGCAAAGATACTTGCCTTCAAGACTGACGATCTCTAGGGCCCACACGGCGGATGAGAATTGATTCTTGAAAACTGTCCTCTGACCTCCACATGAGTGCCGTGACACTTGCTTGCACACACAAATAAATGTAACTTTACATTTTATACAGAAACTATGCACATGCTGGCAGCAAACAGATCTACGAAGGTCCCGTTAGGTCAGTTTCCTCATGAGCTCAGCTTTGGGAAGCAGCAGAGTGCTGGTCACCATCCTTTCACAGATGGGAATTTGGCTCTTACAGACATCGTCTGGACCTCACTTCACCAGGGCACTTGCAAGTCAGATTATGAATGGGGCTGGGGTGGGAAGGTTAATACCATAGAAGCTTCGGCAGGCTGGAAGGCCTGGGGGGGGGGCAGGACACACAGATGTTCCATTCTCAGGGGTACTGAGGTGGGGTCTGAGACAGGAGAAGGGGAAGTTAAGACAAAAGGATTTGGAGGAAGGGAAAGAGGCCCAGCAGGCCAGCTGTTTTCCAGTCTTTAGAGTGACTGACTAACCCTCCACTGACAGCTGACAGGACAGAGCACACAGCTTTAATTGGAGGGAGGAAAAAAGAAGTTTCAAGAGGTTGAGAGACACCATCAGTCATTGGAGAGGAAGTGTGGGTGGTGTTTCCTTCCTTAGTACAGAAATACTGAAAACGTGAGCCCACTCAAGCTGGGCTTCATTTCCAGCACACTGAAACTGCTTTTGTTTTCAGTGACCAGCTCTAACAGACACTGCAGCATTAGATGTAGCTTGACACTTGATTCTTGAACACCCTCCCTTGGTTCCCAGGCACCTCTTCTCCCTCACTAGCTGTACCTCCTGGGCAGTCTCTTTACAGGGTGATTCTTAGGCTTTGGACCCTCCTAACTGCCCCTCCAGGGAACCTCATTGACTCTCAGCGCTGAGCTCCACTTATGCCAGTAATTTCTCAGCTCTAACTCCAGTTCCTCTCCTAGCTCCATTCTTGTGTCCGGCTTCCTATGCTATGCCTAGAAGTTAACACATGGAGAAAAGTTTGCTCTTACCAATCATGTCTGATGCCATTTAGCAAGAAACTTTTCATTCATGTTTTCTCATCATCCCAGATCAAACTGCAAGCTCCCCCCTTCTCTTCCCAACGCCTCTGAACTACACATTCCAATCCACTTCCTACACTCACCACACAACTGGCTCCCTCAGAACCTCAAATTCCCTTTCCCGCTCCAGTCTTTGCATTTATACTCCTGCTCTTAGTTTGTCAGCCTTCAGGTCAGGAGTCAGTATGAATATGAACGCCCCAACATGCTCATGCTACCTAATTCCCTCTTTCCTATACTGGGTACTAACCCTTGAACTGGGTAGACAGCACTCTACCATGCTTATTACCCCTCAATTTTCTAGTGAAAACAAAATCACCCACTGGTTCCTTTTCGTACCTTAGTAAAATCTGTGGCTTCACCAATTCCTTGAGGACAGGGACTATATGACTTTACCATTTTCTTACACCTTTTTTTTTCTTTTCACTTTTTTTTTTTTGGTTTTTCGAGACAGGGTTTCTCTGTAGCTTTGGAGGCTGTCCTGGAACTCACTTTGTAGACCAGGCTGGCCTCGAACTCACAGAGATCTGCCTGCCTCTGCCTCCCGAGTGCTGGGATTAAAGGCGTGCGCCGCCAACGCCGGGCTTTTCACATTTTTATTAAAGATTAGTTTTTATGTGCTTTGGTGTTTTGCATGTCTGTATGAGGGTGCCAGATCTCCTGGAACTGGTGTGAGCTGCCGTATGTGGGTTCTGGGAATTGAACTGGGTTCTTTGGTTAAGAGCACTGACTGTTCTTAAATGCTGTGCCATCTCTCCAGCCCAGTCCCCTGCTGTTCATTTTTTGAGACAAGTTTTCATTCTGTAGTCCAGGCTAGCCTTCAACTTTCAGCAATCCTTCTGTTTCAGCCTTTAAAATGCAAGGATCACAGGTGTGTTGGAACATGGCAAGTCTGGCACTTAAGGACACTAACAGTTCAAATAAAGGAAAGTACAAACTAACCCGTGGTTAGTTTGGCAAAACCTCAATGCTTATTATATAACATTATATCTCCTGACTTTTTGCCCTATTAGTAATTATTCCTTTCATTTGTTTAAATGGAGTTTTTAGTTTTTTAGTTTTTTGAAGTAAGATCTCATGTAGCCCAGACAGGCCTTGAACTAGCTATGTAGCTGAAGATGACTTGTACTACCAATGACACCACATATCCATTTTAGCTGAGTTTGTCATTATTATCGGTCTGAAAAAGTAAACGCATCAGCTGAGTGGTGGTGGTGCACGCCTTTAATCCCAGCACTCAGGACACTCAGGAGGCAGAGGCAGGCGGATCTCTGTGAGTTCGAGGCCAGGCTGGACCGACAGCCTCCAAAACAGAGAAACCCTGTCTTGTAAAACAAAAACCAAAAAAAAAAGAAAAAAAAAAAAAAAGAAAAAAAGAAACCCTGTCTCGAAAAACCAAAACAAACAAAAAAAAGAGTAAACACTTCATTGCCTAAATTTGTTAACTATATAATTGTACTTTCAAGCCTTATAGCTAACTCAATGCTTTCATAACCCTTTAAACTAAATGTTTAATATATTACTAAGAATGGAGAAAAAACAAGAGCAAACAACACCTGACAAATACAAACTACCCTTGGTCAATAAGAACTAAGTGTCTTAGTTTTTGTTTGTTGGTTGATATTTTTTGTTTGGTTTGGTTTTCTGAGACAGGGTCTCTCTATGTGGCCCTGGCTCTGCTGGAACTGATATGAAGACCAGCTTAGCTTTGAACTCACGAGAGTTCTGCGCACCCCAGTATTGGAACTAAAGGTGTTCTATCACCATTTCTGGCTGTTTTTTTGAGAGAGAGTTTCATGTAGCCCTGGCTTACCTTGACCTTGCTATATATAGCTCAAGCTGAACACCTGATCCTCCTGCCTCAAAGTACTGAGAAACCAAGTTTCAAAAAAGTAACTTAAGTGTCTCAAACATGAGAATTTAAGGACAAATTTTGGAATCTGAATTATGTAAATGAAAAGTTATACCCATTACTTGATAAAAACAATGACAAAAATACTGAAAATTTTTTGTTTTTATTTCCAAGATCAAATATTACAACAGGACATTTACATGTATTTATAAAAAATGCAGCAGTTGAATTTATAGATCAGAGGTTTCCTTGAGTTTGGTCCCTCTCTCACCACAGTGAGCTGATGTCTTCAAAAGACTTCTTCATTCCACTCCCCTCCCTCCCCCACCCTGCTGTCCCACCCACCCACCCCACCTCAAGTTGCAATATTAATATAAAGCAACTAGGTACAACACATCAAATATTCACAATTTGGTACAGCCCAAACCAGGGAATCATCAACAGAGAAATCCTGACTTCAGAAAGCATCTGCCTATAGCCTATGTGTGTCCATGGATACATCACAGCCAGGTGTCTCACATGCCCTATGTTCAGAGCAAGTGGAGTCCAGTGTGTCTTAGCCAGCAGTTATAGCTCTCTGCCTCCATGTGCCTTTTGATATCAGGCTTCCTCTAGCACCTTTACAATCACTAGATATTCGGGAGGGTCTTTCACGAATATCTTAAATAAAAGCTTCAGTGGATGGCGCAGTTTCTCCATCTCATTGGTCTCAATTTGGGGAATCATTCTAACAATAAATGATCTCCTACTACTATGGAATTAATTAATGCCCAGAAACCTGAAAAACTCCATGAGGGCGCATTGACCAGAAATACACCACAGAACTAGCTCTGTTCATTATTTTCTTGGATTCAGCAACAACCTCAACTACAGATTAAATTTAGAACCTGTTTTGTATTAAGACTTCAAAATTCAGTAAGACCACCACTTTGTCCAGGGCAAACTGAGCATACAAACAGCCCAGGAAATATCTAAACATTGTATTAAGAACTTCTAGAAAAACACTTGTAAAGCAAATACCCCAAATTGACTATAATTACCTCTTGGTAAGACAGGAAGTGGTTTGGAAAAAGACATGAGAGACATGTTTAAAAACAAAATTAGTGAAGACGTGCCAGAACTGGGCATCCCAGATGAGTCAAAAAGCATTGTTCAATCTGAACTTATACAAAACATGCAAAGCTCACAAACACTCCTCAAGTTTCTGCAGAACAACACTTACTAGAAAAAGGACTTTCTTAACAGTTAAGGAGAAAGAGAGAGAAACAAAAAGATGTTCTGATGCTTGGAATTTGTTAATAACGAACAGAAAAATTGTTTGGAATAAGGAATTCTCAGGAATGAAAAACTTATGTCCAATATTCAAGTCAAAACTTGGAAGAAGCCCCTCAAGGTCTATATATCATGTCAGTATCAAACAGCACTCATCTCTCCACATCTGAGGCTAGGGGCTCTCACAGCCATCCTGTCTGTCTTCCAAGTGCTACAAATAGCCTTTATGAACTGGAGAAGTAGACCTAGAAAATAAGGCCCAAGTCTCCCAGGGGCAAGATAAACAGCTCCCACCATAGGCTTGTTGCTCACGAATGGAAAGTAGAGGTCACAGGCTACTTTCTCTAATTAGCTGGCAAAGCAGGGGGTTCTCTGGAGACAGTAGAACATAAGAGTATATGATTAGTTACATGAACCTATTTATATTTTGAATCATATCACTTATAATTTATTGATATTTTCCATTGTTAATAACAAAGCAGCTGGGCAGGGGTGCCCAGCACTCGGGAGGCAGAGGCAGGCAGATCTCTGTGAGTTTTAGGCCAGCCAGGTCTACAGAGCTACGCAGAGAAACCCTGTCTTGAAAAATCAAAACATAAAACAAAAACAACAACAACAAAACTCAGCAGCTGCGAGAAAAGCACACTATAAAGCTCAATTTGTTGAAAACAAGGTATCAAACCGAATATAAATATTCTAATGTCATTAGCTTGAAATTCATCTTAGGAACACACACTGTAACATCAGCTATCTTGATACAGAATGAATGGTTCCCTATCAGTTAAAATTCTCACATGAGTCCATGAATACAAGTAAAAACAAAGGATTTTGAGAAAGGGAAAAACCAATTTCAGGTCAGAACTTATCTCACTTAAAATAGTCCACAATTTTAATGATTAATAAGTGACTATGGGTATCCTAGATTAAGAACTGCTCTTCTTGGTAATGCTGGACACTGAACCCAGGGTCCTGAATACACACCAGCCCACAGCTTCCTTTCTGGTGGAGACAGGTGATTAGGCATTACCTATTGTGCCAGTTTAGCTTGACTCCTCTTCTTCCCATTGGAAAACCTAAGTGACCTTATAAGGCATTTAAAATCTTAGAGCAATTTAATTGTTAGATGAAGGACCATTACACAATAAAAGTCTGTTGATAACTGCCAAAGAATTAAGTGCAATAATGTAACTTCCCATACTTATGATTGTTCTTAGGCAAAATACTATCATTGGTATTCACATCTCTAATTATGTGAGCAGATCTTTAAAACAATTTTTAAAATTTATTTTGTGTGTACAACTGTTTTGCCTGCATGTGTATCTATGTACCACATGCATGCCTAGTCAGAAGAGGGCATCAGATCCCCTGGGACCAAAGTTATGGATGGTTGTGGCCTACCATGTGGGTATAGGGAAATAAACCCAGTTCCTCTGCAAGGGCAGCACGGACTCTCAACTGCTGAGCCATCTGTCCAGACCCTCAACTGCTGAGCCATCTGTCCAGACCCATGGTTTTCTGGTTTATAAAATCAAACATAGACTCACTATATAAACGAGTATTTCTATATCTCACTATTTTCCCCCAGGGCAATGAGATGTGTTCATACAGACACTTGTATATGGTACTATGGTAGCTTTAATTATAACTCTTGAAAGAATGATGATATTTAATTGGGGCTAGAAAAGCACTGTGATATACAAACACATGCCAAAGCAAACTACTGATATATCCAAAAAGGACGAGGCAAGAAAAATTTTATTTTTGAGTCAAGATCTTGGTATATAACTTTAGGTTGACTGGAACTAGCAATCCTCCTGTCTCAGCCTCCTGCGCATGCCTAGTGGCCTCAGACTCAGACAAGTTGGATCCTCTAGAACTGGAGCTATAGACAGTTGTGAACTTTTATGTGGTTGCTGAGACACGAACCCAGGATTTCTATGAGAACAACTGCTCATCCCTCCAGCCCCATGAGCAAGTTTTTGCAAACTTCTTCACTATGTTTAATCAAGTCCATTTGGATAACCCAAGTTTATTTTGGGATTATATGGTATAAAGGCCATCTTAAAAACATAGTCAAAATTAATCAGGTTAAGCCAAGTGTAGTGGCTTGCACCTATGATCCCAGAACAGCTCAAGGCCAACCTAGGCTAATACGTTCCAGACCAGTCTGGGCTACTGAGTGTGCTTTAAACTAAGTGCTGGTTCAGCAGTTGTGTCTTTAAAAAACAAAATGTTTACAAGAATGGTGAGATTTAAGTAGGGCAACCAAAAATCTATAAACAAACTAACTGCCTTGGGGGTTTATCACAGAGCCAGTCATTCTCTTACTTGGAATGAGAATTCTCCTTAGGAAGGAAATGAGCTGTAAAAAGGATGTTTGCCTCAAAATATTCCCTTCTATATTAATTTATTAAAAATAAGAAGTATATACTAAAGCTTAGAAATATAATTTTAAAAACACAGCCAAGTATATTAACTATGACAATTTTTGGAGAAAATTAGAAAAAGAATGGAGACAGGGATGGTGGCTCACTGTAATCCAAGGAGGACCCAGAGGTTCAAGGTCATGTTCAACTACAGTCACTTAAGAGGTCAGGACAGAGACTTCGTCTCAAGAAAAAAAAAAAAAAAAAAAAAAAAAAAAAAAAGAAAAAAAAAAAAAGAGGCTCTCCTGACCTACATTAAGTGTTCGAAAACAAACAAAACAGACAAAAAAAAAAAAAAAAAAAAAAAGAGAATGGAGAATAAAGATTAAAGGCTGTTTCACCTCAGGGTTTCATCATATCCAACAACCTAGGCATCCAGGTTCTTTAAGGGAGAAACTAACTAAGGACATAATAATCTCTGCTCTTTAAAGAAAAAAAAAATCAACAAACCAATACCTCTTAATTCTAAGCTGTCTCATCACCAGGACTAACACAAAGGTGAGTCTAAAGCCCAAATAACCACCTCTGAAATACTAAATCTCTGTGTTACAGGAGAAATCACTATATTAGAATGGCACTCTTTGGTTATTTTGAGTTCTAAAGAACATTCCTGCACCATTCTAAAATGTGAACTAGGGAATCTAAGTTTCACAGTAAACAACTGAAATTAAGTAAGGCAAACCAACAAAGCTCAATGTTCAGGGCCTTTAGGATATGTAACTCAGGGAGTAAATTAGGTGGTCGAGTGACTGCCATAAGAAGTCTACTCATTAAGGCTTAAGCTGCTGCAAAGCTTGAGTCTGAGAGGCTGGTTCTTCCTACACTCATTACTTTTCAAGTTTTAGTTTTATACAAGAGATTACTCATAAATTTGTACACTGTAATTTACTATTAAGTAAGTAAATGAAAGATCTCTAAAAGGTATGACACCATAAAGATCTACTCTATGGGACAAGAACTATTTTTAAGCATTCAGCTTAATGGAAACTTTGAAAAGGTCACATCTGCCCAAATCAAGTGTGAATTTCAGTAAATCAACTTCACAACTGCATAGCCAGTACTTAGCTTAAAGCACAGAAATTCAGCTCCAGTATTGGGGACATCCCACTCTGCATTCATTGCATTTCAAGTCATCCTTAAAACTCATTAGGCTTACAGCGTTAAGTTCTTAAAAAATAATTGGCTGTTTAAAGACCACTAGATCTGTAACTATTGTACTCTGCTTTGAGGGATTTCTGTCACGGCAGTGAGGACACATTGGATAAAAGATACTTGGACACAGAAAAAAAGCAAAAGGAACTGATTAACGATTAACAAGTACTTTGTAACACTTGAATTAGTCTGAGAATGATATAAAATAAAGGGAGAGACCAGACACACAAAACATTGGGGGGGGGGATAAAGTTTTTCTGTAAGGGCTGATTCCAGGTGTACACTTCCTCCACGAGGTTGATTCTATTAGTAGTTAACTGTATTCTTCCCCACTCATGTCAAAATTAAAAACACTTAAAGTCCTTTGACTTGAAAAGACAGCGAACTATTAATCTACTCTGATTCTGTTTGTCAAATAAGAGATTCGGAAGCCAGAAGAAAGTAACTTGCCAAGATAGAAGCAAAGCTGTTACCCAAGTGCACTGAACCCATCAGTCAGCCTTCTTTGTCCCAGGATCAAACACCACGTATTGTACCCAGGGAGAGAAATCTTGCCTTCATTTTTCAGGCGCCCTTTGGTATTCTTCTTAAGTGTTCAAGTGAGATTCCTGCTAATTAAAGAGTTTTTAGTACTTGAGTTCAAAATTCTTTATTACTCGGGCAAAGGTCTTAACTTACTGGTAAACTTAATGCCCCAAATTTGGTACTTTCAAGAGGCAGACTGAAAGAATGAGCCACAGTGCTTGCTACCATCCATATTTCTTCTCTGTGAGAACACCCCTAACTAGACCTATACTATCCTTCCCTCTTGAGTTCCTATTGTAACCACAGTTCAACCCTGAAAGGGTTAACATTCCCCTTCCTGCTGTTATGCATGTATATACATGACTCCATAACTGGATAAAACAGTAGAATCAGACCTTAGCTTTCAAAGTATTTCTGACTTTCAACTCAGACTCAACAGAATGCTAATACAGAGAGTTGTATACAGGATAAAACAAAAAGGTATAAAGAACAAAGGGTTGTTGAATAGCCTATCATGGATAATCTATGAGAAAAGATAACTGTAGCTTCTTCTTTTTTTATCTTTCCTATGGTTCCATCTATTCTTGGCAAATAATTCCTTATTGAATTATTTTAAAAAGTAATAGACACAGGCGGATCTCTGTGAGTTCGAGGCCAGGCTGGACCGACAGCCTCCAAAACAATACAGAGAAACCCTGTCTCGTAAAAAAACAAAAAACAACAACAAAAAGCAATAGACAAATGTCTGTTAAAAATGGCATAATTAGGATTTTATAGGGAGAGCAAAAATCCTATAATCTTGACCCCAACTACACCTTCCAGTTTTAAGGAAACAAAAATTCTTAGTTTGCAAAGCCAAATAATAATAAGATGACCTCAGAGTAAAGGGACTACAACTGATGTAGGACAACACACCACACCACACAAGGGTAAAGAACAGACTCTCGGCTCTAATTTTAACTTGGCCCTTACTAGTAATGACACACTGAGCAAGCTGTATGAATTCCAGTTGTCTTCCTCATTTATAAATGAGCAGAATATACTGTGTAGGGGCTGCATGAAGACTGAAGGAAGAAACATACACAGTACACACAGCATATGCTCTCCCTCACCCGGTACTGGTCTCTCAAGTCCAAACAGTACTCCTCTCACTTTTCTCACTAGTCTTCATTCCCTTTCTTTATGTCACTCTCAAGCCTATCCTGTCCCTTTCCTCCTTACTTTAAATACTTTTCACCTGTTTTTACTACCTACAGGGAATATGTTTAACTAACCTCACAGACCTCATTTGACTGTCCAATAAAAGCCTTCCCTTGAAAGACAAATAACTTGCAGAAGAACTAAAACAAATGTAATAGATTAAATACTTGAGCAAGGCAATATTCCCGTTTATTTCCCTCATGTATAATCCATAACCCTTCCTCCCATGGACCAACCCTGATAATCACACTCCTGGTCAAAATGAAGTAAAATTCCCTACAGCTAGCTCATCATCCTGACTAAGCTTGATAAATGTATAACGCCCTGTCTCTTAACTCACATACATCCTCAGCATCTTAATTTGGTTCTCATAAATGGATTTGCCAGTGCTGAGCATATAAAAGAACTGCATACACCCTCTCATTCAGAAATCCTGTATCAGGGTCTCAAGACACAACCTAAAAGAACAGGACAAGAGGATGCAGCAGAGTCCTCTATGGAAAACTCTTGATTGACTGGGGCTTTCGCTGGGTCTGTGTTGGAGTGGAGATGGTGCCAGCACAGCAAAGTTGAGGACTCTCCTTCTTTTACCCTGTGGCTCCCGGAGGCTTTAGGCTGTGATGCTTCAGAGCATACAGCTCCATTCCTCAGACAGCCGTTTCTATTCAAGTTCAGAGCTACAACTGAGGAGTTAACATGCTTGTTCAATAAATCCAAACTGTTGGCTAAGCCTCAAGCGCTATGAAAAACAAAGTGGTATTATTCAGTCACCAATCTAAAGAGAGAACTTTGACTCAAAGTATAAATGAAATTGTAATTATATAAATATATTTATAAATATTCATACAATTATATACGTATACATAAGCACTTACACAGACTTAGAAAAAAATGTAAGAACATTAATTCAAAAGGACTCACTGAAAAATAACAGAATTTCTCATGATTTCCTTGAGGAGATACATAACCCATTCTTTAGGGAGGTCCCTCAAAATTCAACCATTAACAACCATATTCTATTATTACATACTAGCAACATACCACATATCTTTAGCTTATCTTTTTAATCCCCTAGTTGCCAATAAAGCAATCTCCAAGTACACAGGAACCCAAAGGTCTTTGAGCAATTACAATGTATGTTCCTCAAGTTCAAGATTCAATCAAAATCTCCACTTGACAAGGTCATTCTATAGAAATGGTGTTATAAGCAGTTTAAAGTTTTGATTTTTCCATCAAATCACTACTGCCCTGCTAGAGCATTCTACCTAAAAGCTCAAGGAAAGAACTGAGCACATAGTGAAGCTGATCAATAGTACCACTCAGACTCAGGTGGCCTCTTCTAAATAATACTGAAAAAAGCTTTCACCAAATACAATTTGAATGTGACTTGTTGGCAAAAAAAGATTCACATTTGGTGGTTACTGGTAATGTCCCTCTTACTAACTGCTGTCTTATGAACAGAGTTTCAAGGTGTTCCTCTCAGAGACTTTCAGTTTTGATTTTTCTAAAATAAAACAGCACGAGGCCTTAAAGTCAATTAGTTACCAGAGCATTTTAGAGATTATTCCAATTGGGGGTAAAAAACGAAATCACTATTTCTAACCAAAAGAACATTGCTAGCAACTCTCAGCTGCAGGTTTTCCCACTCCCTGCCCACCCACCCAACCCTGGTACATACCTAAGTATGCCTTAAGCACATAGGACAACCAATAACCATAGTGGTTACAATTACAAGCCATTGTACTACATGATTATTGAACACCTGCCTTCCTACAGAACACTACAGACTCAGACAATGGAGACAAAGGAACCAATCTGCTGTGCAGGTAAAAACAGCAAGCACCTTCCTAGCCCAGACACAAGATGCTCACTACAGGTTCATCCTAGGACTGGAAAAAGGAATATAACTAACAGAGTATTAATAAAGAAAACTGTCTCGGGCTAGGACATTGAAAGCCCCGCCTGTGCTACACACAATACACTGGGCACTCATTCTGCCAATAACACACATCATGGAAATAACTCTTAACCCTTGATGGAAATTTTAAATAAAATGAGCAATAGTATAAGGGATGCTTTTCCCACACAAACAAAAGATCTCATTAAGAGATCTTCCTACATGAAGAACAAGAAGCATGTTAAGAGAATTTCTTTTCCCTCCAAAATTGGGGGCTTACAAAAAGGGGGGTTGTTTTTAATTCTGATTCTAGTTATTTTAGGTCAAAAGAGTCTAGGGTTAACACCACTAGATCCCAAAGAGGTGCCACACACAAGAGACTACTTATTAGAACACAAATTTCCTGCTGCCAGTACTAGGAGAGATCTTTTATCTTATTACACTTCCATTTGGTCACCACATTTAGTAAGAAAGAAACAAAGTGAGAAAAGGAAGAAAATCACAGAGAGAAAGATAAGCAGGAAAGAGACTAATTACAGGTGACAGAAAGAAATAAAGGCAGGTGACTTGCTTGCTCAGCTCTGGCTCTATAGTCCTATGAGCCAAAATGCATACTTAGTGACATGGTACCTCACAGGAAAAGGGAAAAAGGGGTAAGCTGAGAGAGGTCAGGCCATGGTGTTAATTTCTTTCCTGTACAAAGACAGTCTCTTGAGGACAGAGGCCTGCCTCTTGTAAGGTGATGTCATAGTCCAGATGAGAGAGCTTCCTCCGGGGGAAGTTGGTAAGAAGTTCAAAACGTTCATTTGGATATCCTTTAGACTGGACGTGCTTCACCAAAGCCTATGAGAATCAAAAGTAAGACAAAACTGTTAGCTGGAAATAACACCATGCTGACTAATTTAAAAGAGTACTCTACTTTTATCATATTAGATAAAATAAGCTATTCACATAGTCAGAACTTATAGAAAGCCAAACTTCTTTGGATAAGTAAGATAAATCTATACCCAGTAACTTAGGGCTACTATGTGATACTAAAGGAGTCACTGCTATCTCCCCAATAAATAAACCCAGTTAATATTTGTAAAATACAGCACTGTTTTTTTTCCCTTCAACAGGGAATATGTCCTTTCATTCTATCTATGATCAACCACGACGACAGAACTGTTACAATTTCAATACTTCCTTCTCTACAAATGCTTTCTCATCAGATAAACATGCTCAGTCTTCTCCAGTGATCTTTTTCCACTACCCACTGTCTAGTTTTCTACTCAGTTTTGCAACTAAACTTCTCAAAAGAATGGTCTACAGGCTGGAGAGATGGCTCAATGGTTAAGAGCACTGACTGTTCTTCCAGAGGACACCAGTTCTATTCGAAGCACCCACATGGCAGCTCACAACTGTCTAACTCCAAGACGTGACACCGTCACACAGACATATATGCAGGCAGAACATCAAAGCACATAAAATAAGAATAAACTATATGCATATAAAAATATAATAGTGGTTTACACAGTAGCAACCCTTGTCCCTAGGAAATATACACCATGACCCCTAGTAGATATCTAATGATATATAAACAACTAATAATAAAACAATATATACATATAAATTTTATACATATGCCTACACACATATACACCAGCATTACTTCTATTAAGTTGCAGGACCATTAGTAACTAACAGTCACTCATATCTCCCCAAGAAAGGGTTTCACTACGTATCCCTGGCTGTCCTGGAAGTCACTCTATAGGCCAGGCTGGCCTCAAACTCAGACATTTGTTTGCCTCTGCCTCCCAAGTGCTGAGATTAAAGGTGTGCACCACCACTCCCATTGAAAAAAATTTTAATATAAATTTTAAAAGCTTTTTGAAGTTACTTGGTCAGAAACCCTGTGATAACTATACCATTCATTTGGTAACTAAGATGGCCATTACCTCTCAGGCATTCACAGCCTGGCTATCCTGGATAAAGGGAATGGTTCACATTATAGGTGATGGAGTGTGATGGTAGGAGGTTTCATTGTGCCATTCAGAATAGTATGTAATTTAAAACTTATGAATTGATTCTGGAATTTTCCACTTAACATTGCTATCAGAACTAGAATGGTGGAGGATCTTTGCTTTCTCTTGCCTCTGCCCCATTGTAAACAGTAGCAGTTCAGTAGTCTGGCACCAGTCAGCAACTACTGCTCGTCACAGTCTTCAGCATAAGTATCTTCAGCTGCCTGGTTTCAGTTTCAATAAGTGTCCCCAAAGGTTTGTGTTCTGAGCTTTCATGAGGAAGGCCTGGCTGGCAGAGGTCACCACAGGCAGGCCTCTCAAGGTCCTCTCCACCCTCGGGCTCTGTGCTAGCTCTCTGCTTCCTGACTCACAGCCACATGAACAAGTCTCCAGGTCCCACCTCTAGAGAAAGAGCCTCTGCCAAGCTCTCACTGTCATGCCTACCCTGTTCTGCTTGATCAAATTTCTCAGAAATTTCTTCTGAGCCAGAAAAAAACCTTTCCTCCCTTAAACTGTTTCTGTCAAGTAGTTTGTTGCAGAAATGAGGAAAGTGACTTAGCATAGTGACAGGCCAGGTATAGGTACTTAACCAAAGTGGGGCTGGAGTGGGGGCCACCCATAGGTTAAGTTATGCTAGTCAGACCAATTTCCTTTTCCTTTTCAGAGGTTAGGCTCTTGGAAGCACCATGATAAGCGATGTCATGTGCAAACCAAAGAGCAAACAAAACTTACAGGTAGACAAAGACAGAATGGAATAAAATAGAGAATCAAAAGAAAAAATTCTAGCAGAACACAGAAGAGATACAGAACCATGGTTCTTAACTATTTTGTAGTAACAGTTACTAAGAAACCCAAGATCCCCACTATAGTCTTCACATAAATCCACCACTTCTTTTCCAGAAGTCAGTGTATTCCACACAAACACAGAACTGAAAAGCCTGAGCTAGCCTGTGACTTGCCTAAAAGAATGAGAAGAAAACAAACTAATTAAAAATAAGACAGGCATGCAGCACTTGGGAGGCTAAGCAGAAAGACTGTTTTGAGTTCCAGGCTAGCATGGGCTATAAAGTGAGACCACAGTCTTAATTCCAGCATTTAGGAGGCTGAGGCAGGCAAATCTCTGAGTCCAGGCTAGCCAGGGCTACATAGTGAAGCCCTGTGTCAAAACAAAAACAAAAAACAAGTAAAAAAAAAAAAATCACAACAACCCTCCCAAACTAAGACTCTTGATAGTAAGCTTCGAGTTAGATAACAGATACCCTACATCTATGTCAGAGAGTCCAGCAATACAATATCTACTTGACTTCAATTTTCTATGTTCTCTAGGATAAGGGTACAGAATAGTGGTAGGGTCTGCTTAGTATGCATTAGGTAAGGGGATCCCTAGCACCACAAACAATCAGTTTCTTTGCTTCAATCATATGTTTCAGTGAGATAAACTCACCAGCAGTTTAGCTTGTTCTGGAAGAGTGATCTGCTCTCTTTTTCCATCTGGGTACCTTAGCATCAGCTGTGCTTTTGGTCCTAAGGAAAAGTTAAATACACATGGGTGTTTAATATGGGAGATTTATCTATAAAGCAAGCCATTCAGTACATTCAAGTCTGGTAAGTAAAGCAGGTCTATCCTGTAACCCACCATTTACATCTATCCCCTCCACTATTCCATCTGACTTTTCAGGTGACATCTCCAAGACCTCAGGATCCATGGCTGGCAATCCTTGATGGTTTGTGGCTGTGCCAGGCTCAGTTCTGGCTGGGGGCTCAGTCAGTGGCCTTCTGTTCTCCTCTTTTCTATGCCCCAGATCTTTATGAGGAGACTTTCTGGACTTAGCAAGATTCTCTACCTCCTCTTCTTCATCAGAGCCACAAACCGAAATGAATTCCTCACTGCCAGAAAAAAGTTCGGATTCAGATTCTTCATCTGAGCGGCTATCCTGTTTTGCCTGTGCTGAGTCGAAATGTGTTTCCTGCAAGGAGGCTCTGATGGCAGCTTCCAGCTGGCTGTCTTCACTGGCATCTATGAGGCTCTCCTATGAGGTGCAGTCAAAACACAGGTGGAAAGAATAACAGTTAAACAAAAAACCACTCAAACAGGGTATAAAAAACACGCCAGTCAACATATCACTATGATTTTCTGCCAAAGTAGAATCTGTCTCTTGCACAATGTGAGGTCAAGGACTTAGTATCACAAAGTCAAATTGAAATGGATATTTTAAAGGCAAGATAAAAAGGTTATCATTAACCTGGATATGGTGGCACATACCTATAATGCCAGCATTCATGAAACAGAGATGGGAGATTGCTCAATGTCTAAGGCTAGCCTGTATTACACAGTGAGACCATTTGAAACACAAATAAACAACACAGAAAATCTCAAAGTACTTAGTACACTGGTATTTTAAGCCCAGGCATTTTTGGCATCAAAATGAGCAGTCAAGAAAATAGCTTCTTATTTTTGTTTAGCAAAAGAACTAAAGTTATAAAGCCAACCTACTATTTTTAAAATGATTAAACATCAGATGTCTCCTTTGGTTATCACTAAATACAATGATTCTTAGCATTCAAAACAAGGAAATGACATTATCAAAATATGGCATGGTGGTGTATGCCATGCCAGTCCTCCCAGGATTTAACACTTGGGAGGCGGAGGTAGGAAGATTGCAAGTTTTGTTGTTTTGTTACTGTTTTTTATGAATTATTTATTTTATGTGCTACATAATAAATTTTATTTTATGAGTGAGGGCTACACAGTCTGGAGTTTACAGACAGCTGTGAGCTGCAATATGGGTGCTGAGACTTGAACCCTGATCCTCTGGAAGAGCAGCCAGTGCTCTTAACCACTGAGCCATCTCTCCAGCCCATGCCTATAAGATTGACTTCCAGAATGTGAGATCTTTTCTCGAAAAAAAAAAAGAAAAGAAAAATCCAAAGGGAAAAATTTTGTGGTGTATGTGACTAGGGTAACTAAATTCTTGAAAGTTTAGTAACTATAATGAAAATTTTCACTATGATAACGAGAAATACAATTCCTTTTATTTATTGCAAAAGTGAGTGCATGTGTGCATGTGTGTGTGGCTGTGCAGCCAGTGCATACACATATGAGTCAAAGTACAACTTCCAGGAGTCTGTTCTCTCCTTCCACCATGAGAGTTCTAGAGATTAGATCCAAGTCATCAAGCTTGGTAGAAAGTGCCTTTATCTACCAAGCCATCTAACAGTCAGAGCAATGCAAATTTCTAATCTTTTCTTGTTAAAGTTTTGAACATCAAAGTTTCTTTCTTTCTTTCTTTCTTTTTTTAAATATTTATTTATTATGTATATAGTGTTCTGCAGGTCAGAAGAGGGCACCAGATCTCATTACAGATGGTTGTGAGCCACCATATGGTTGCTGGGAATCGAACTCAGGACCTCTGGAAGAGCAGCGAGTGTTCTTAACCTCTGAGCCATCTCTCCAGCCCGTTTTCTTTCTTTCTTTTTGGTTTTTCAAGACAGGGTTTCTCTGTGTAGTCCCGGCTATCCTAGAACTTGCTATGTAGACCAGGCTAGCCTTTAATCCTAGCACTCGGGAGGCAGAGGCAGGCGGATCTCTGTGAGTTCGAGGACAGCCTGGTCTACAGAGCGAGTTCCAGGACAGCCTCCAAAGCCACAGAGAAACCCTGTCTCGAAAAACCAGAAAAAAAAAAGATATATATATACATATATATATATATATATATATACACACACACACACACACACACACACATACACACACAGTGTTCTGCCTACATGCCAGAAGAGGACACCAGATTGAATTGTAGATGATTGTGAGCCACCATGTGGTTGCTGGGAATTGAACTCAGGACCCCTGGAAGAGCAGTCAGTGCTCTTAACCTCTGAGCCATCTCTCCAGCCCCCACAGATTTCATTTTTAAAAGTCACAAAATATGGAACACCTGAATGGAACTTAGTTATGGATGTATACCATGAACATGCCATGTCCCTACAGGGTCTAGAAGAAGGCATTGAATCCCCTGGAACTGGAGCTACAGGTGGTTATGAGTTGTCTGATTTGGGTGCAGGGAACTAAACTAGGCTTTTCTAGAAGAGAAGTAAGTGCTCTTATCCACAGAGCCATTTCTGCTGCCCCGTATTATGATTATGACTACTATTCTCTTACACACATGCCATCATACACAGGAACATACATGCACACACACCACACAAATACACAAATTTAAAAAAGAAACTATAACCAGACAGAGGAACTTCTAGTGGTGAGACAAGTCTCCAGGAGCCAGAGAAGGAGCATTGAGAGACTCCAACAGTCAGATTAGTGCTGCTGTTGATTTAGTTACAGAAGCTTCTTTCTGCAGTGGACAATGGTAACTGCAAAGACTCATAAGTGGTTAAAATGTGGAAAATAATGCTGACCGTTCAGCCATAAATGGGACTATAGCATTCATAGCAGCCTCTCCAGGGTTAGAGGACATGGTGGAAGAGCAGGCAGTAAGAATGTAAGATGTGAAGGATGGGGTGGAGGGATGTGAAACAGTGTCTTCTGGCATGACAAAATTGAACACCTAAATGCACAGTGGCTGTGATCACCTGTGTAATTCCTGCACAAGGTGGGTTCATCAACTCCCTGCCCTGGAAAGGACTAACAAGGGTACAACCTCTCCCTTAGATAAGCAGTTAATGGTTGCTGGGAACAGGAAGGACATTTTATTTAGGAGTGTAGCCACTGGTAAGGTGCCAGTGCTCCTGATTTCTCACCTATGCTTCTATAAGTAAGCTTGGATCACAAAAATAAATGAATAAAGTGTCAAACTCTGTATACACATATATACATGCATGCATACATATATATCAGCTAACAGCAAGATGTATCTTGCTATTCAAATTAATAAATTTGTTTAATGAGGATACACTCTAAGGTCAATACAAAAGAACAAGAAAACATTGTTGGGAGAAATTAAAAGACGCAGAAATAGGGAGATATATTCCATACTACCAAACCTGAAGATTCAATTACTAGATGTCCACAGAACTAGTGCAATCCAAATTAAAATTCTAGCATGTTTTCTTGTATTAAGTAACAAGCTGGTTCTAAATTTTGTAAAGAAATGTGAAACTCTCAAAACAAACAGAAAAGTTTCACTAATTTAATTTTAATTTGGTACTTATTTTAGATAACTTCAAATAACTATTTTTACCACTATACAATAGACTTCTAAAGATAACATAATTTCATTCTCATTGCCATCAAAACCCAAACAGCAATTATAGCCAAAGTGAGACTGCCTTATCTTTGAAGATCTTATACTTGAAATCAATCATGATATCAACTAGCAAAGATGACTGCATAATAACATACTGCAGATATTAAGTATAAAAATAAACTCTGGGAGAGCCAGAGCATCCCAGGACTTAAAGCTATCTAGCCAGTAATAATGCCAAATAATATCCCAAGTGAAAAAAACCTAATATCCACCACTGTTGCTTCAGTCTGTCATGAGAAGCCCTCCCAGAGACACTCTTAGAAGAAGATGCCTCCACCAGCAACTTGGCCATATCAGTTCTCCATATCTATATTGTTCCTTTCTTTTTTTAGGTATCATTTTTATGTTTTAATTATGAGTATGTGGAGGGGGTTGTACACATGTCTTTTGTGGTGTGTGTGTGGGGTGTAGCTTTGGAAGCTGTCCTGGAACTTGCTCTTGTAGACCAGGCTAGCCTCAAACTCACACAGATCCACCTTTCCCTGCCTCCTGAGTGCTGCGATTAAAGGCGTGCACCATCAGCACCCGGCTTGTATATATATCTTATGATTTCACTGACTAGATGAAATCCTTCTGTAGAAAACTATCAAAAAAATAAGAAGGTATCTAAGAAATACAGCCGGAGACCCTAATTGTCCACTACTTACATTATTATAAGCATCACTTTAATATTAGGCATTTTACACAAGATGCTGACATATAAGTACATCCAGTCACCCATCACTTATACTTACTGATCTGGCACATTTTTTGGGGGGACTGCTAGAAAGTCCATCCAGTTGTCCGTGTTCACCCAGAAACCCTGTTACTTGGTCCAAGAAAGACGATACATCTAATTGGTGCCACTCTACAAGCTTCTGACCTAAAAATTAAAAAATTTAAGACATGTAAACATAAAATCAACAGTTCTTCTAACCACACTCATTAAATAATTGCCATATGTATAGTTAAACTTTGCCACAAATTCATATCCTCATCCTTCACTTGTTGAAGTCACACAGTTTTGTTGTAACCATAGACAAGAGCAATTACAACTCATTGATAGATTCCCACCTATGACAGGAAAATTATCTGCTGGCACTATTTACAGCCATTCAGGAAGAAGAAATTTAAACAAAGCAAAATTTAAATAAAATATAATTAATGATGAAACCAGCTCATCCTTTAGTGCTCTTAGAGTAGTTCAACCAGTATTTAAAATAATCTTAACAATTTAATAATAGAAAACCTAAGGAGACCCTTACAAAGAGATGATTGTATCAGTTTTCCTCTGAAAGAAAAGAACTGCACAAACACAAAATGTCACCCATTACGTTGCCAGAAATAGAGTCTCTAAATATACACACCCAAAGGTGTCTACACAATTATAATGGGAACAAACAACAACAACAAAAAACCTTTGCTTAACTATTGTATTTCTGGAACCAGATCCAATCAAATAGTAATCAACTATTTAGGTATTGAAAAATAAATGATAGAAGCTGTAATTTGATATAACTTACCTGTCCGTGGGTCCAAGATGGAAACATAGGGGAAATCCCCTAATTTATAAAACTGTATGTATCTCTGACCTTCCTCGCTGTCGTGATAAACCTGTTAAGCCAATGATATAAAAAGCCTCTTAAAAAAGGCGGACTGTAATGTTATCTACTAACAGCAATGAAGTTTCCATGTAAGCCTTTGACAAACATGCTAAATTCTCATTCCCATGTGAAAGGGGAAGTAGGATCCAGTATGGGCTTATATCCTACTCACAATCTCTTCTGAAAACTCAGTATGAACATACCAACCTATTCCTCTTCCCTTTCAAGTATCTGTCCATCTATGGGTTTTTTGTTTGCTTTGGTTTATTTTTGAGACAGGGTCTCACCATGTAGCTCTGGCTGTCCTAGAGTTCACTATGTAGACCAGGCTGTCCTTGAACTCACAGAGCTCTACCTGCCTCTTGTCTCCTAAGTGCTGAGATTAAAGGCATGTGCCACTATACCTGACACAGTACAGGTACTTTAATAAATCATAATATATTAAGATTATAAGTTTAAAAACCCAACATTTTATTAGGCAGAGATGTAAAAATATTCAGTCAATATTTGAATAAAATAAAAGGAATTCTGCCATTAAAAAAAAAATCAGCCGGGCGTTGGTGGCACACGCCTTTAATCCCAGCACTTGGGAGGCAGAGGCAGGTGGATCTCTGTGAGTTCGAGGCCAGCCTGGTCTACAGAGTGAGTTCCAGGACAGCCTCCAAAAACAATACAGAGAAACCGTGTCTCGAAAAACCAAAATCACAGAGCCTGGAAGTGATGGTGCATGCCTTTAATCACTGCTCTCTGTAAATTTAAGGCCAGTCTGATCTACAGAGTGAGTTCCAGAACAGCCATACAGTTATACACAGAAACCCTGTCTCAAAAAAACAACCCCCAAACAAACAAACCAATCACAGAGGCCACCAAGATAAGTGTTACAGCAAAAGTCTGACAACCTGAGTTTGATTCCCAGAACCTAATTTCCAAAAGTTGTTCTCAATCCTTCATATCACATACCTATACCCATACAGCACACAATTATATAGTAATAATAATGAAAAAAATTCCCACTGAATTTATCAGACTGTAAAACACAAACAGGTAAATCAATAGCATCAGTAGTAATATATCTTAGAATAAGAAAAATATCAAGTTTAAGTTATTTTCTGTAACTTTTTAACAACTAGAAATTGAAACTGGGCCTGCCTAGGCTGTACTTCCCAGCTACTCAGGTATCTGAGGTCAGAGGGTCAAAAATCCAAAGCCTACTTGGGGTGGTTTCAAATGCTAAAAAGGAGCTGAACCCTAGAGGTGCACACCTTTAATTCCAGCACTCAGGAGGGAGAGGCAAGTGAATCTCTGGGCTTAAGCCAGTGTGGTGAGTTCCAGGGAAGCCCTGTCTTGGGGGAAAAAAAAAAAACTAAAAAGGAGGATGGAGACTAGCTCAATGGTAGAGCATTTGCCTAGCTTGCAGGAGGCCCAGGTTGAATCCCAAGTAGCAAGCCTCTCCTAAAAACCAAAACCCAAACCAAACCAAACAAACAAAACAACAACAAAACCAACCAAATAAAAAGACTAGAACAAAAGGGAAATTAGAAGTAGGCTACCTAGTTTTAACTAGATAATTTACACAAAAAGGTATTACATCTGGGACACTAAAGAATACTAAGCTAAAACACTAGTCAAAGAGTAACAAACTCAAGCTCAAACACAAGTTTAGTGTTTCTCCAATGCTCTAAGATGTGTTCCTCATGGCCATTGGACTAATCCATGCAATAAGCATGAAATACATACCAGATCTTGAGAATTCAACACATACACAGAGCATTAAAATGTTAATGTTATATCATTCATTGATTTAAAGAAGAAATACTATTGTTAATTTCACCTGCTTCCTTTGAACCTTTCAGAGTTTTCTAGAAATACCTAAGCTGCGTGGGCTTCCACGGCTTTTCTTCTCAGTTGTACAGCTGTAGACTGACTGTCAAGATGCTCCTCAAGTGTGAGTATCGCATGGCTTAGTTCTTTTTTTTTCCCCTCCATTACTTCTTCACTGTTGCCCTTACCCTTACTATTTACCGTTAACTTACATCATAAATGAATTCCCTTTTCCCAGTTTGTAGCCCCATTTCTCCTCCACAACATCCTACACTATAAAAATAAAAAATGATAAAATCTTTAATTAACTGTCTTCTCACCTGCCAGAAAATGAAATGTTCCCGGATAATATTCTTCACAGCTTCATTGCTCCACACGTCACGGTTGAGACACTGGCAGGCAAAGTCTTGTACATTCTGAATGTTTATCATCAGCCACTTATTCTGCATCTGGCCACACTCTTTGGCCTATAAGAGTAAAGTTAAATATTTATTAAAAAACAGTTTCTAGCCAGACAATGGTGGTGCACACCTTTAATCCCAGCACTTGAGAGGCAAAGGCAAGAGAATCTCTGTTTTTGAGGTCAGCCTGGTCTTCAGAGTAAATTCCAGGACAGCTGGGGCTACACAGAGAAACCCTGTCTCAAAAAACAAAAAAGTTTCTATGTGGTCACTGGTATATTTCAGCATTCAGGTGCTGTCTTTTCCAAGTAAATACTAAGCATTCTTTTACAAAACTGACATTGATGATTCATCACTTCTTTGTACAGAGAACAGTGTAGTCAATGGATAAACTCACAACTGGTCCAAGTGCACTGTTTTTCCTAGCTCCAGGTTCAGAAACCATCATGAAAGAGAGGGTGAAGAATTTGAAGAGTCAGAAATTGGAGAGAAACCAGATTGCAACATATCTTTTGAACCATATGACAGGACTCAAAAGTCCATAGCAACTCTGAGTGCCCACACAAGGCCTATACAAAATCGAGCCAGTCAACATTCTAGCATGCAGTATGGAGAAAAGGACACGAACCCCCACACCCAACTGAGGAACTACTGACAGATGATGGCTTCTGGGGCAGGGAGGGTAAGAGTGTCATTCCTGGGAAAGTAACTGCTCCAGTGGATGCCCCCTGGACCATCAGTATAAGACAGAGACAGGGGGTACAAAAGTTGGGAGGGAGTACCTGGGTCAGGGATGTGAATCTGGGAGGAGCTAGAGGAATAGGGAATGAATATGATTAAAATATCCTGTAACAAATTCTAATAGGATATGGGTGGTGCACACCTTTAATCCCAGCACTGGGTAGGCAGAGACAGCTGGAGTTCTGAGTTCAGAGCCAGCCTGGTCTACCAGGACAGTTAGGCTAAATAAGGAGACCTTGTCTCTGCTGCCAAAAATGAAAAAATAAATTACCAAATAATTAATGAAAATTAAAAAGAAATATTATCTAGAGGTTAGAGATATGGCTCAGAAGTTAAAAGTACTTCATACTCTTGCACAGAAATGGAGTTTGGTTCCCAGCACCTATCCCCAGTGGCTCACATCTCCAGAGGATCTGATGCCATTTCTGGCCTCTAGGGGCAACTTCATGCATGTGCACACATATACACATAAATAATACATTTTAAAACGACATCTAGAGTTTTTAGTACTTATACATTATTGTTTTGCATATAGATAATCCTTGTGATAGCTGTCAACTTGAGTGGATTAGGAGAAATCAAGACTGGTGAAACTGAACTTTAGGGATCACAGATCTTTAGGACAGTGCTGGGAAGAAATGTCCACTAGAAGCTGGCTAACACCAGACACTGGATGAATGAAAATCGGAGGAAGTTAGTATTACACACCTGCAAATCCCTTCTTCCTCACTGTACACATGTGACCATTGCCATCATCAGACTCCAGCTCTCCAGGGAGCTTAATCTAGGCCTTTCGGCACCAATTAGTACATAAAGCAGACAAAGAATAGAATAATGTTGGCTTTCATTTGGCTGCTGGAACCCTACCTAAAAGAAATGGTGCTGCCCACATTCAGCAACAGTCTTACACTTAGCAAATCCTCTCTGGAAATTCCAAGTTATCTTGAAAATGTGATAGTTTTGTTTTAACTTTTGTTTGTTCTAAAAGATTTATTTATTTTATGTGTTTCAGTGCATGTCTGTATCTCTAGAGACCAGAAGAGGGATCAGAACTACAGTTGCAAGCCACCATGTGTGCTGGGAACTGAAACCAGATCCTCTGCAAGAACAGCACATAATCTTTTTTTTTTTTCATTTTTTATTTTAATTTTAAATAGCTTGTTTTACATGTCAATCCCAGTTCCCTCTCCCTCTCCTCTTCCCGCACTCCCCTTCCCCCCCTCCCTCCCACCTTATTGCCAAATCCTTCCACATAGGGGATATCTAGAGTCTGTCATTTTACTCTTGGTAGGGTCAAGGCACTCCCCTAAGAGTCCAGGCTGAGAGAGCATCTCTCTTTGTGCTATAGGCACATGAAGACAGTTTGTATACCAGGGATAGACACTGATCCACAGCTCAGGGCCCCATAGGTTGCCCAGGCCTTCTCGCTGACACTCACATTTGGGGGGTCCAGATCAACAGCACATAATCTTAAGCACTACGCCATCTATCTCTCCAGCTCCTATGCTGTTTTCTCAATGATAGTCATTCTCATGGTGGTAAGAAGGGAACATAATTTCCCTTGCTATGCTTAAAAGTTAGCAGACAAGTAAACCTGTACTAGCAATTTTTCCTTCAGGTTTAGGGAAGATAAAGCTAGGAAGAACTGGGGGGGAGGGTATAGGATATATTCTGTGATTCAGACATATTTCCAGTATCTCCAGTATATGTCTGAAACCACAAATAACAACAAATATACACAAATTTAATGTATTGTCCACTCTAACTAAGCACTGCCACACTGAGACCAAACTTTTACAACATCAGATATGACAGCAAAACTAGTACAAAATATTTTTCTTCTTCATAATTTCACAGATAATTCATTCTTACTATAGACCAGGAAGTATCACCGTTTTACTTAAAGGAAACACTTTATAGTTTGCTTGTGATGTACAATTAAGGAAAATGAGTTATTTAAATACAAGCATTAAGAAACTACAAACTGAGTTGGAAATGGTGGCGCACACCTTTAATCTCAGAGGCTGGTGGATCTCTGTGAGTTCCAGGCCATGCTGGTCTACATGGTGAGTTCCAGAACAGCCAGAGCTGTACAGTGAGACCCTGTCTCAAAACCAAAACACGAAATAAATAAAATGAAGACATTGCAAGTTGATCAACATTTTTGTTTTTATTTTACCAAGACAGGGTTTCTCTGTATTGTTTTGGAGACTGTCTTGGAACTCACTCTGTAGACCAGGCTGGCCTTGAACTCAGAGATCTGCCTGCCTCTGCCTCCCTAGTGCTAGGTGTGGACCACCCTCTCCCTCACACCCCCAACTCCCCGCAAGGTGGTCAACTAATATTATCCCACATCAGTTAACTAAATGCTAAATAGGTACATAATAGATAACACACACACACACACATTTTATATATATATATATTGTACCAAGTGGATGGCAAGATTTCATCATGCTACTTAGAACAGTACATAACTTAAAACATATCAACTTTTATTTCTGGAACTTTCCATTTAATGTTTTTCAATTTCATGTAAATTAAGCCTAAGTGAAACTGTAGATAAGGGGACAACTATAATATAGGGAAAAGATAAATACAAGGAATTCATAAATGGTTAATAAACATAACACCACATACCCAGCAGTAGAAAAAGATACTAAGTTTTTAAAAAGAAGCTTTCAAAGTGGTAAAGATTCTACAGTGATGCCACACAAGGCTAATCCATAAAATAATCTCATACACTGTTGTTAAATATATTCTTCATTTACTGCCAATTAAATATAAGTCAGTGTAACCCTCAAGTATATTATACAGAAGTAGATAACAATTCTCTATATACTGGATAAAAATAAAATAAAAAAAATAAAAGGCATGGTGATGATGGGGGATATCCTTCTGTATATATGTTTCTCTTATTGATTGATGAATAAAACACTGATTGGCCAGTAGCCAGGCAGAAAGCATAGGCAGGGCAACCAGACCAGGAGAATGCTGGGGAGAGGAGGGAGAAGCTGCCAGGGAGACACCATGTAGCAGCCAAAAGGAGTAACATGCTGGAGCATTACAGGTAAGCCACAGCCTCATGGCAATACACAGTTTAACAGAAATGGGTTAATAATTAAGAGAGAGCTAGCCAATAAGAAGCCTGAGCCACTGACCAAATAGTTTCTAATCATTATAAGTCTCTATGTGTTTATTTGGGACTAAATGGCTGTAGGACCAAGTGGAACAGAACCTCTGTCTACATCATGGTGGCATACAGAGGAGGCAAAGGTAGACTTGCCTCTGTGATTCTGAAGTCAGCATTGTCCATATAATATGCCCATGCCACATGATCAGACCCTGTCTCCAAAAAAGGAAAACAAAAAAAAAAAAGACACTAAAATTGTAAACCATTTCATACAGAATCTCCAACAACTTACTGTTTCAAAGCTGCCTTTGTGCATCAAGTCGATTGGGGGCCGGAACAGATCTGCAAGGGTTGTTAGTTTCTTGTCTATTGCTCCTCCATTTCTTAATTCCTGTTCTTGCCTAACTGAAATACAGACAGATAGAAAAATTTTAATTATCCCTAAAATGAAAATAAATTAAATAATAAACAAAAGGTCTTATATTGAATGAAAAAATGAACAATATGCTTAACTTCAAATACAAAATGCTAATGACTAAAAAAAAATTACAAAGGGGGCAAAAAACATTTTAGGATCTGGTGGTTATTCTCTAGCCAAGAATAAAAATAGAAAATTAAATTAGCTGCAAATAGTCATGCTGCGCCAGGCCTGATGGTGCAGACTTACAATCAAAACTACTTAGAAGGCTAACACAAGAAGATGAAGGTTCATGCAGATGTGGTGGCACACACCTTTAATCCCAGCACCCAGGAACAGAGACAGGCAGATCTCTGTGAGTTCAAGGCCAGGCTGATCTACAGAGTGAGTTCCTGGACAGCCAAGGCTACACAGAAAAAACCCTGTCCCAAAAAACAAAAACAAAAAAGAAGATGAAGGTTCAAGGCCAACCTGAGCCACAGAATGAGCTACTCCAATCTGGACAATTTAGTGTCCAGCTAGGATCTACCTCAGAACCTATCAAATATATACAGGACCCTCGTTTAGTCCCCAGCATCATTAAAAGAAACAAAACAAAAATGAATTCACCTTGAGAAGAGAATACACCTGGGGAGTAGAATGCTTGCTTGCTTAGAATATTCAAGGCCCTGTTTTGCATATTCATACGCAACACAGAAGAAAGCTTTCAGAATCATTCCTCTAGCATTGGAAGTGATCCTAGCCCATCTATTGCAGTTAGCTCCCAGTCTTTAGACTCCTGCAGTAGAGGTTATGGACACTGCTGTCTCCATCTACTAGAAGAGCACAGATTTCTCTGGTAACTTAAGTCTTCTCTTTCAACTTTTTCCAAAGTTACAGGACCTATTTGTGCCTTGAAGGGGCACAGATAAGTAAGTTACAAAACTAGACACAGACCAAGCAGCATTTTTCAAGTATTATCTAAAAATAACTGTCCTAAGCCAGCTGCCAAACCTGATGGCTGGAGTTCAATCCCCACAGCCCATATAGTAGGAGAGAATCAACTCCAATAAGCTGTCCTCTTGTTAGAGGATACACATACATCATGGCTTATAGATCACCCCCAACAAATAAACAAGTAAAAATTGTCCTTTCTTTAGAATCTTTAAAAGTATGAGGTCAACAAACTTCTGAGCTGTGCCACAGAAAGGTATGAACTGTGCTGACTAGTTTTATGTCAACTTGACAAGTTGAAGAGGAAGGAGACTCAATTAAATAAATGACTCCATTAACACTAGGCTGGTTACAGGCAAGCCTATATAGGGCAGTGATTCTCAACGTTCCTAATGCTACGAACTTTAAATACAGTCCCTCATGTTATGGTGACCCCAAATCATAAAAGTATTTTCATCACTACTTCATAATTGCATTTGCTATTGTTATGAATTGTAATGCAAATATCTGATATGCAGGCTATCTGATATGTAACCCTGGTGAAAGGATCATTTTACTCCCCCCTCACCCCAAATCAGTTGTGACCCACATGTTGAGAAACACTGCTTGCTTTAGGGCATTTTCTTAGTTAATAATTGATGGGGGAGGGTTCAACCCATTGTGGGTGATGCCTTCCATGGGCTGGTGGTGTGGGTTCTATAAGAAAGCAGGCTGAACAAGCCACGAGGAACAAGCCAGTAAGCAGCACTCCTCCATGGTCTCTGCATCAGCTCCTGTCTCCAGGTTCCTACCCTTTTGAGTCCTTGTCCTTACTTCCTTCAATCATGGACTATGATGATGGGGGAAGTCCTGTGTATATGTCAATAAAGCACTGTTGGCCAATAGACAACCAAGATAGGTGGGACTAGGAATCCAGGAGGACTCTGGGTAGGAGAAACACAGAGAGTCAAGATGTAACACCATGGGGTAGGAAGCCCGGAACTATTCTCCGGTAAGAGAAATGCTTAGATTAACAATTATGGGGTAATTACTTAAGTCAGAGCTAGCCAGTAAGAAACAAGCAAGGCCAACAGCTTCATAATTAATATAGCCTCCTGTGTGTTTATTTGGGACTGATGCAGCTCTGGAACCAGGCTGGCGGGAAGGCTTCCCTTTACACTATGACATGAAAAAAGAGCCAAATGAAACCCTTCCTTCGCAAGTTGCTTTTGGCCATGGTGTTTCCTCATAGCAATAGTAACCCTAACACAGTGTGTGTATATATGTGTGTATCAAGGTACACATGTGGAATCAGGGACAACACGCAGGAGTCAGTTTCCCTCTTTTCACCACGAGGGCCCTGGGGATCACATTCAGGCTTCATAGCCAGTATCTTTACCCAAAATCTTGATGTCACTATACTTTCACTTTTTAAACATAGTGTGCACCCTCTATGTAATTAGGATTAATACTAATCACCTTTTTCTTTTTAACAGAAAAGAAATGAAAGAGGGAGTTGACAGACTAGTTCACAAATACCTACTAGTTTCAGTTTGAAAATCTCGGAAACCATCAAATATCGAACGTGCAGGCCTTCGTCTTTTAGGGGCTGTAGAAGAAAAACAGAACTGGTTATAAAAAAAACAAAAACATTAATTTTGAAAACTCTAAAGAAACTTCTTATATAAGCATTTCTTATTTTGTTTTCTTTTATGTGTACACATATTCTCTCTACAATGTAAATTTGTGCACCTTGTACCCAGAAGAGAGTATCAAATGCCCACAATCTGGAGTTATAGACATCAGCCACTATGTGACATGGGTGCTGGGAATTGAACCTATGTCCTTTCAAAAAGTAGTCAGTGCTCTTAACCACTGAGCCATCTCTCCAGCCCCATATGTATTTTAAAATGCTCATATTCTTAATAGTGCCTTCTCTCAGGGAGAAAAAAAATTAAAGAAGTGGGAGGGGTGGTGGAGCATGCCTTTAATCCCAGCACTCAGGAGGCAGAGGCAGGCAGATCTGTGAGTTCAAGGCCAGCCTGGTCTACAGAGCAAGTACCAGGATAGGTTCCAAAGCTACACAGAGAAACCCTGTATCAAAAAACCAAAAGGTAAAGAGAAGAGATGGAGAGATGGCTTAGAACACTGGTTGCTCTTCCAAAGGACTGCACTCAATTCCCAGCACCCACACAGCAGCTTATAATTGTCTTGTGACTCCAGTTTCAGGGAATCTGACATCCTCACACAGGCATACATGAAAGCAAGAATGCCAATGCACACAAAAATTAAAATAAAGCAGGGCAGTGGTGGTGCATGCCTTTAATCCCAGCACTTGGGAGGCAGGCCAGCCTGGTCTACAAGGGGAGTTCAGGGACACCTGGAACTGTTACACAAAGAAACCTGTCTCGAAAAACCAAAACAAATAAGTAAATAAATAATAAAAATGGATTACTAAATTCCAAGACACCAGAACTACACAGAAAAACCCTGTCTTGAAAGACAAAAAAACACTTGGAAAAATAAAAAGTGAAGATACTTACACACACACACACACACACACACACACACACACACACACACACACACACACACACACTTTGAAATCAAGACCCTGTGTAGTAGCAGCACCCTTGTAACCCAGTACCTGGAGCATGAGGATCACTGCAAGTTCTAGACTAGCATGAACTACAAAGCAAGACCCCCTTATCTCAAAAATGAAAAGCATACTTTGTAGATATATATTGAGACCATGTCTTGGGAGGGAAAATGCTAGGTAAGTGCCCTACCTACCTACAGCCCCGGCCCTTGTGTAAGGTCTAAGCCCTAGGATTTAAGAATTCTGTCTTAGTGGATGCACATGTACAATCATAAACACCAAAAATACACTGTAAATTTCTGAAGTGTTCCTATGATTACATAGGACAAAGTTCTTCTGCTACCCTTGTAGAGAGTCTATATCCAATTTGTAAATATTTTACATAAAATTTAGAATGTATTAAGTGAAATGTTACCTTCTTTTAGAAAAATGTTCTCAAAGTTAAATTACTCATGCACATGATAGAAAATAGGGTTTTGTTGACATTGTTTTTCTTTTTGAGACAGGGTCTCTCTACACAGCCGTGGCTGTCCTGGACCTCACTATGCAGACTAGGCTGACCACCAGATCAGTCTGCCTAAGAGCTGGAATTTAAAGGCATGGCCAACTGAAAGAGAAGATTTTAATTATTTTTTTTCAGTGTAACCATTTAAATTGGTTTATATATGGTGAGCCTGACCAACATGTAACCAAAACAATGGCCCACATTAATAATGATTAGAAGATAAGATAGAGAGTCCAAAAGCCTGTTATTCCACATCAAAACATCTTTCTACAGACTATGCTTTTCATTACTTCGGATAATTATTTCTATTTTTACAACAAATTAGCTGGCTGGTGGTAGCAGAAACTTTTAATCCCAGTGCTCAGGAAGCAGAGGCAGATAGACACCCTGGTCTACAGAGCAAGTTTCAGGACAGCCAAGGTTATAGAGAGAAACTCTCTCTCAAAATCAAAACCAAAACTTAAAAACTCGGCACTAACAGTAAAAGTCAGCAGGCAGTGATTGCCCAGCAAGCATGAAGCCCTGGATTCAATCCCCAGAACTTACAGTCCTGGTGTGATGATACATGCCTATAATCATAGCAGAAATTTAAAGTCATCTTTGACTACATGAGTTCAAAGCCAACCTAAGCTGGCCACACAAGGCAGTGTAGCAAAAAACAAACAAAAACTGAAGAAAAATGAACTTTATCATTTACATCATATTTAAATGTCATAAGCACATACAAACAGCAATATTTGTGCTAAACTATCATAATGATATGCCAGGCACAGTGCTACACGCCTGGAATCCCAGTAGGAATAGGAGGTTGAAAGTCATAACGGGCTACATAGTAGTTAAAGGTTGAACTACAAAGACTGTTTCAAAAACAAAAGAATCACAATTACCTTCAGGAAAAGAGACTATTTTAAAAGGCTGGTATTAAACTTTTAAATAGTTAACCCAAATTTTAAAAAATTTAAGCCTGATCTTTTTCATTTTGCTCCCCTTTCCCTGTTTAAAAAAAAAAGGGGGGGGGACTGTGATTCTTTTCAATCTTCAAACTACTTTTAATCAAGAGTTTCTATTTAAAATGTATGTTTGTAGCAGGAATACTTTAGGCTCAGTGCCTTTGCTGTTGCTTTGGTTTGTTTAGACAGGTCTTGTACCTAGCCCAGGCTAGCCTGGACCCCAAAATCTACTACTACCTCAGCCTTCTAAGCACAGTCATGTACTACCATACCTAGCCTCCAAATAATGTCTTCTGAAAACTATATCATAGTGTGTATTTTGTTTTATTGTGTATGTGCTTGCCATAGTCCATGTGTCCACTTTCAGGAGTTGGTTCTCTCCTTCAACCAGGCCTTGTTCCAGAGATGGAACTCAGGTCACCAGGCTTTCATAGCAAGCAAGTTTATATGCTGAGTCACACACCTATTCTTCTGACAGTTTTTAACCCTAACAGTTGACAAAGCAAGTATGTTATAGAACTAGACATAGAAGAGCACACAGTATGGGGGACTATTCTACTTCTAACCCACCAACAGCAGCCAGCTGATATTCCACCATATCTCATATCACCTCTGGTCTCCCTTTTACGAGGCGCCTCACCACTTTGGTGATTTACTACTACTTTTGCTAGTCCTCTATCCAGCTTCTACTATTTCTTGGGCTCATCCCCTGCTCCCTCCTCATTTATCATACCTTCACTAAGAGCTTCTTTTCAAGCCAAAATACTTCCTGTCCTAGGGCTTTTTCTCTAAGTGCACCCTGGCTCTTGCAAACCAGTTACCATAAGCAAACACCATTCCTCTGTAATCATCCTTCTGCCCACTCGGTAGGCATATTATTTATTAAGGCCAAGAGACTAATCTACAAAAAGCTAAAAGAAGTCCCCATGCATAGGAAAGCCCTATATCATAGTGGAATACAAGGACTAGCAGGGAAAAACAATTTAGAGAGAAGAGCAACACTGTTTTTGCATTTCCATAAATTTCTGCTAATATCTAGCTTTAGAGTAAAACAACTGGGATTTTCATATCATCTGCATAATTTTAAATCTATTTCTTTATTTGAATTCAAGTATAGGAAGATATTAAAATCCAGCCCCACACAGAAATACGGTAGTAAAGAAATGATTCATTTTAGATAAACAATAAATATGAATATTTTTTGATACCACACCAAAATTTAAGTAGTGTTGTGCTAAATTGGGGTTGGAAGAGTTGCTTCAACAGTTAAGAAGAATAGTTTAGTTCCCAGCAGCCTCATCAGTCATTTCACAACTATTTTTAACTCCAGCTCCATGGGATTCAATGACCAATTCTGGCCTCCTTGGACAGGCACACACATGCATATACACATTCCTACCTGTAACATCAGCACCAGGAAAACACATACAAACACACAACTAAAAATTTAAAAAAATAATAAATCTTGAGCTTGGCAGTGAACACACACCTTAAATCCTAGCACTCAGGGGGCAGAGGCAAAGACAGACAGGTCTCTCAGTTCAAGGCCAGCCTGGCCTACCGAGTGAGTTAAGGATATCAAGGCTATACAGAGAAACCCTGTCCCGAGATGGATGGATGGATGGATGGATGGATGGATGGATGGATGGATGGATGGATGGATGGATCAATCTTTTAAAATAGGCTAAAATCTAATTGGCTTTTTATATTCTGTCTCAATAAGATCCACTATTCTTGTCAATGGCAGTCTCACAGACAGACTTTGGCTCTTTGACTTGCTTTGTATTGAGGATACAGCATCTCTATCCTCTCTATCCAACAGCTTGGAAGGAAAGCCTTCTTCCTATGACTCAGGTGTTATCCCAAAGGCCCTGTGGTAATGGCTTGGTTCTCCCCACAGCACTATGAAGAGATAGTGAACCTTTGAGCAGTGGGACCTAACAAGAAGCTTTGATCACTTTGGGTTATGCCCTTAAATAGGGCATGAGACCCTGGTCTCTTTTACATATTTCTGTTTCTCGGCTGCTAAGAACTTCTACCACATGTGTTCACTATGGCATATACTGCCTTGCCACAAAAAGTAGTGTCCTCTTTTCAAAATAACTAGCTCGCATATGTTATCACTGTCTAACACATACCCATCTCTCAGTATCCACACCTATAGGTGAATATTCATGATAGGATGTCATCTTAGCACCAAAAGCACTTCCTGTGCAGACCTGAGTAGTTAAATCTTGAGTCCCAGAACTGAGGTAAAATCTCCAGTGGTTTGAAAGAAAATGGCCCTCGAATGGAATGGCAATATTGGGCAGTGTGGCTTTGATGGATAGGTGTGGTCTTGTTGGAGGAAGTGCTACACTGTGAAGGTGGGTTTTGATGTCTTATATGCTCAAGCCACACCCAGTGAGACAGACCACTTCCTCTTGCCTGCACAAAACACAGATCTCTCATCTACCTCTTCAGAACCATGTCTGCCTGCACATCACCATGACCAACCATGATGATAATGTATTGAACCTCTGAACTGTAAGCCACCCAATTAAATATTTTTCTTTTTAAAAGTTGTCATGGTAATGCCGGGCGTTGGTGGCGCACGCCTTTAATCCCAGCACTCGGGAGGCAGAGGCAGGCGGATCTCTGTGAGTTCGAGACCAGCCTGGACTACCAAGCGAGTTCCAGGACAGCCTCCAAAGCCACAGAGAAACCCTGTCTTGAAAAACCAAAAAAAAAAAAAAAAGTTGTCATGGTATCTCTTCACAGCAATAGAAACCCTAATTAACACAACAACTCACCTACAATCTAGCTTTGAAAGATGCTGTATAAATTTCCTCAGAGATTAAAACATTCCAACCTGCAGGAAACTCCTTAAGCAGGAAGGTAAACATTTCAAAACAGCTTCAGCAAGTCCCTGAAACTGACCAGATTCATTAGGCCACTCCCTGAAAGAGCAATCAAAACTAAGAAGACTCTCAGATAAGATTCACTGTCTTGGAAGAATCAGAAATCAGCTGAGCTGCCTTGAAGAGGTTTAGACCAACTGAGTCACTTGGAAAGGACACTGTCTAACCTGTTGAACTGCCTGCAGGCTATGCAGTGTGCTCCAGGTTCCCAGCTTTGTGAGCCGTTACCTGTTCTGGGGTGGGCTTTGGTGATGCAGCTGTCTTTGAAACCCCCTCACTCATATTCCTATAAGTAACCCCAATAAACTCATTAGTTCACCAAGTTGGACTTTGATGGTATCTATACTTTGGTATGCAGTGGGTTCCCTATCTGAGGTAAGTTAACTTGTGTGTTGCATTTCCTAAGGAAAAGTTTTGTCACACAACACAATGCAAAAATGGGATCCCCTGGGCACACTGGCTAGGAAACCAACCATATAGGGGAGTGCTGGGTTTAACTCAGAAGCCCTGACCCAATGAATAAGATAGAAGAGCACCTGAGGATGATCCCAACCTCTGGTCTTCACATGCATGCACATGCACTCATGGGTACATCCTTCAATGGGCACATCTTTCAATGTACTTTATAACTTACACTATCTCTAGATTACTTACTATATCTAATATAATGTAAATGCTTTCTAATTGATTGTTCTTTTGTTTAGGGAATACTGGTAAGAAAAAGTCTATGATCAATATAGATGGAGTTTTTCCAATCAATGCTAGGGATTAAACCTAGTGCCTCACACATGCTAGGCAGGAAGTATTGACACCTAATGGATAACTTTTTAATCCTTTAAAAAATTAGTTCCCCTTCTTGCCTGGCATAGTGGCATACATCTTTAATCCCAGAATTCAGGAGACAAACGCAAGCAGGTCTCTGTGAGTTAAAGAATATAACAAGCTCCAGACCAGCCAAGGACACACACTGAGACCCTGTCTCAAATAAGTAAATAAAAAATTTAAAAATTATTTCTCTTTCCCTCTCCTAATTTTTCTACAAAACTTAAAACATAGGTTTCTTATCCTCGTGTTTCAAACCATTTTTCTGTATTAGTGTTCTCAATACAACATACATTTCACCATGTTTGCCCTAACACAGTAAGATTCATCATTTTTTAAAAATATGTATTTTTATTTTGTGTGCACTGCTGTGAAGATGTCAGATTCCCCTGGAACTGCAATTACAGACAGCTGTGAGCTGCCATGTGGGTGCTGGGAATTGAACTCAGGTCCTCTGGAAGAGCAGCCAGTGCTCTTAACCTCTGAGCCATCTCTCCAGCCTCTCATCATTATTTTTAAAATAATACCTAAAAATATTTGCTTCATAAAAGGAAGTAGGTGCTTATTAAACTATTACTATTCTTTAAAATTGATTAACTACCCCATACTTCAGCATATTCTGAATTCACCCAGACTGCTAACTATTTTGGGGGGGGCATGGAATAAGGACTACTTTTATCCTCTGTCCAAAACAAGAACAGCACTTGGAGAAATTAAAATGAGAGAAGGCAAGGCATACAAAACAATAAAGAGTAACAAGTCAACTGTATACTGAGCTATCTATTAGTCATATGTATATTCATAAGAAGACACAACATAAAATTAAGGATCTTTTTAATATAATGACACTGGTTTCCCTAAGATGCAGCAGCAATTCCAAAGGGATTTAGGGAGGAGAGGGCAATGGTTCCAAACATCTTTAATCTTGGTACGTACAATGTAGAGCAGGTAGTCTCTGAGTTCCAGGCCACCTAAGGCTATAGTGATACCCTCCCTTACAAAAAAGAGACAGCAATTCTTTTTGGTAAGTTTCCTCCTCCTCCTCATTATTATTCTGTTAAGGAATGCTGCTTAGATAAGAACAGATTCTATAATGAGAAACAATCTCTGAATAAGCCTTATATCTCCAGGTCATTTTATTAAAATCCTAGACAACAACAAAGTCAAATAAAGTTAAGCAAATAGACTTACCACCAAACAAAGGTTCTGGCTCCACTAATATTTCTTGCTTTTGAGGAATTGGGGCACGAACTTCTTCTCTGTTAAAAAAAAAAGTGCAAAAAATATCAAAATGAAAACTGTTTTTGTGACACCTATTTTCCTTCTAAATTGTGAATGCATTCAAATTAACAAGTGAAACAAACACTTTTTTTTAAAGAAACTACAGTACTCAGAATAAAGAAGTAATTGATTTCTACACAGATTAAGTAGAATAAAATATATAGCACAGAAAGCTAAAATGGTTTACAGGAAAGAACAAAAAAAGTCAAGTAAAAATGACTGGAAAATATAGGCTTACTAGGATCAATATAATTACAGCTGGATCTCATAATAATTAAAATACAAGGATATATTAAAGTGATTGTCAACAAATGGGTAATAAATTTTATGTTATGAAGAAGCTATCATAGGTGTAATCCTAAAACTATTTACTCAATAGATCCCACTATACTATACAGAAAAGGAATTGTCTATATAAGATATATAAACAAATATATAAAATATAATAAAATATAAACTCTTACTTTTCTTGAGATTTTTCTTTTTCTTTTTGGCTATTTTTGAGATAGGATTTCACTGTATAAGCCTTGGCTGTCCTGTAACTAGCTCTAGAGACCAGGCTGGCTTGAATTCATTGATCTGTCTGCCTCTGTCTCCTGAGTGTTGGGATTAATGGCATGTGCTACCACCACTGTCTGGCAAGATTTTATTAATTAATTCATTCATTCATTTTTTCGGGACAGGGTTTCCCTGTGTAGCTTTGGAACCTGTCCTGGAACTAGCTCTTGTAGACCAGTCAGGAGGCAGGCGGATCTCTGTGAGTTTGAGACAAGAACTAGTCCTAGGACAGTCTCCAAAGCCACCGAGAAACCCTGTCTCAAAAGACCAAAAAAAAAAAAAACAAAAAAACAAACAAACAAACAAAAAACAACAAAACAAAACAAACAAAAAAGAAAAGCAACCAGTGCTTTTACCATCAAACCATTATTCTAGCACATTCTTTAAAAGGTGATTCTGCAGCTAGGAAGATGGCTCAGTGGGTAAAGATACCTGCCCATCATGTCTGATGACCTGAATTTGATTTCAATGCACAAGGTAGAAAAACAAAACTTGATTTTCAAATTTGTCCTCTAACGTCCACATGCTTCACACACACACACACACACACACACACACACACACACACACACACACACACACACACACGAGAGAGAGAGAGAGAGAGATGTAATAAAAAATTTTAAATAAATTATTAAATTAAAGCTTATTCCCAGCAAGGGATAGACCTCAGCAGTAGAACAGAAGCCTAATATCTTAATATCTGCAGGGTACTGTGTTTGAGCCCCAGTGCTGAAAATAAATTAAACACAAAAAATATTCTTTCCAAAGTTTATCCTCATAGACTCAATATAATTACTCATAACTCAGTTAAAAATTATTTTTATAAACCTTTTTTTCTAGGAAGGTGATACGTAAATCATTTTGATAAATAGGCTGATAACTTAGTGGTTAAGAGCATTAGCTAGCTGTTCTTACAGATGACCTTAAGTTTGATTTCTAGCATTGACATGGCAGCTCATAACCTTCTGTAACTCCATTCCCAGGGAATCCAACACCCTCTTCTGGCATCCATGGCACCAGGCATGCACATGGTACACATGGTGCATAGACACACATGCAAGGGCAAAACATCTTTAGACATAAAATAAATTTAGAAGATCTTAAAAATACAAATAATTGGGATCTGGGCATTGTGGCACATGCCTTTAGTACCAGTTCTTGGGAGACACAGAGACAGGAGGATCGCTGTAAATTCAAAGCCAATGTGGCCTACCTAGTGAGTTCCAGAACAGTAAAGAATATGCAGAGACCTTGTCTCAAGAAAACAAAAAATAAAAAATGAATGGCAGGTTACCTTTAAAATCAATTTAAAGTCATTAACTAAATATTAGAAGTACTTAATATTTTGGGGCTTAGTTGTCATAGAAAATAACAGTAACTTGTAAGATTTCTAAGCATATGGGACAGTAACATGACTCATAGGGTAAAGGCACTTACCACCAAGGCCTGACCAATTTACTGGATCCCTAAAACCAACACTTATAAGGAGAGAACTGACTGCCTCAAGTTGTCCGCCAATCTTCCCATAAGTGATATGGCAACCCACATACATACATAGGGGGAAAGATAATTATAAACATATAAAGATTGGTTTAAATTAGGCCTAATGAGTTCTATCTCATGTCCTGCAAAACCCCTTGCTCACCACACACACTTTTTTGAGCCCATTTCTAAGCCAGGGTCTAACTAGGCTGGCCTCAAACTTCAATCTTTACAACTGAGTTGGGGTTTCACTGGGCATGTTGATGCATGCCTTTAATCCCAGCACCAAGGAGGCAAAGACAGGTAAGTTTGAGGCCAGTTGGACCTACATAAGACCCTGACTCAAAAAAATAAAAACAAAATACAGCACAGGATGCTGGGATTATAAACATATGCCATCAAATCTAACAAGACTCTACTTTTTCTAATACCTAACAGTTGGAATTTCCATATCTAACATTTAGAATACTAAGACATACTTTATATTTTTTAAAAACTGTGAATATTCATTTGCCAATGACTATTCCATAATCAAAGAACCACCAGTTAGACAAATCTATAATAAGACAAATGATTGAAGAATAATTCAAGATTATGTTAAGTATTCTTTCCTACTTTTTGTTTACAAGTCTTACTACATAACCCAGGCTGGCCCCAAACTTGTGAGTCTCCTGTCTCAATCTTCCAAATGCTGGGATTAACCATCGGTGGTTCAGTGGGAGAAGTCTCACCTGCTACATACTAGGGTTATAGAAATGTGCCACCACACCCAGCTGCTCTTTCCTATTGGACATAGGTCACTGCTCATATGCAGAATTTCAATAATCTGAAGAACAGACAATGTATCTACAGAAGGAAGTTTAGTAAATACTTTAATCAAAAAGAAACAAGCCAGTTGGTTTTGGTGATCCATGCCTATAGTGCTCACTACTTCAAATGCTGAAGCAGGCAGTCACTTGACCCCGAAGAGTCCAGCCAGGAGCAGCAACAAAGGAAGGCTCCATTTCAGGGAGAGTAAGGGGGTGCAATGGGGTAGGTAAGGAAAGGAGGGACCCATTAAGTACCTTTAAAAGATTTTTCAAAAAAACTTTTTTTGCAGTCTGGTATTATGTACCCAAGCAGGCCTTGAACTTGTTATGTAGCCAAAGCTGTCTGAGAACTCTTGATATTCCTGTCCCCACCTCCCAAGTGTTAGGATCACAAGTGGGCACTATCATGCCAAGCTTTAAAAAAAAAACCCTTTTTTGAGACAGGATTTCTCTGTGTAGCTGTCCTGGCACTTGCTCTACAGACCAGGTTGGCCTCGAACTCACTGAGATACGCTTGCCTCTGCCTTCTTGAGTGCTGGGATTAAAGGCATGTGCCACCACAATCTGGCTAAAATACATCTTTTATCCAAGTAAACCTTTTTTTAATTGGCATACTGCACAGTGACAGTTACTCACTCAACTGCAATCCAATGAAATATCTCAGTTAAATAAATTAATAGTCTTGGGGATGAAGAGATGGCTCAGTGGTTAAGGGCTGCTGACTCAATCATGAGGTTAAGAGCCACCATTCACAAAACCTGTAACTCTAGCTCCAAAGGATCTGACACTCTCCTGGTCTCCATGAGCACTCCACACACACATGGGTATGAGAGCGAGAACACACACACACACACACACACACAAAACCTTAAAAAAAAAAAAAAAACCCCTACAAGGTAAGACAATTACTGTATATCTAAAAATATTTGGCAATGTTAACTACAATGAGTAGAAAAACAGAGAAGGTGAATTGGAAGGGAAATACTAATTAAGGAATTAAGAGCTACTATTAAATATTCACCAGTTAGCATATAAACAATCTATCCAAATCATGATGTAAGCAACTAAGGAAAAGATAACTCATTTATGAAAAACACTTGCTACTTAAAAGGCTACTTTCTCTGGGGCTTAGGAGTTTGAGACTAGCTTACAAAAAGCAATGAAACCCTATTTTAAAAAGGTAAAAACTAAATGCTACAGGGCTAGGATTTAACTCAATGGCAGAGTACTTGCTCAGGATTGGTGAAGCCCTGAGTTTCATTTATCTTTCACATGCATGCATAAATGCTGTCAAAGTCAGTAAAACAAAAACAAAAGCCAAAGTGCCAGTCATGGTGGTGTATACCTTTAATCCCAGAACCTGGAGCAGAGGCAGGCAGATCTCTGTGAGTTTGAGGTCAGTCTGGTTTACACAGTGAGTTCCGTGCCAGACAGGAATATACAGTAAGACCCTACCTCAAAACAAAAACCACTATTTCAGACACAATCAAAAAAAAAAAAAAGTAACTAAGCAAGAAAGCAAATACATATAGATATGCTCCCGCAAATCAACTGCAAATATCTACTATTGAAGTTTCTATCAACTAAATCGGTTTTCAATTTTATTTATTCATTTATTTGTTTGTTTTATTTATTGGAACAGGCTAGCATGGAATGTGCTATGTAGACAAGAATGGCCTAGGAATTCATTTCATTTGGCTCAATATTGATTTCCATTAAAACTCTGAGCCATGTTGGGGAATGGAATCACACTTGAAACAAATGGCCATCAGAAAACAAAAAACAAGCAAGCAAAAACTTTGTAAGCTATTAATATGATCTCTAAAGTTCCTAACTCATGCAGAAACAACACTCCATTAATCTGAAATTAGCTCAACAAAGGAACAATTATACTTCTTTGTGACCTGGCTCTTATATTATGTCTGACTCAATAAAATAAAATTCTGGTCCTTTGCCTGTTGTATTTAAAATGATTCCTCATTTAGTTTCTCATATTATAAACTATGAGAATCACAAAAGAGTAAAAGTATGAGAGCCTTACTTAAAGACTTTTAAAATTAAGGTTTTTTTGTTTTGTTTTGTTTTTCTCACTATGTAGACCAGGCTGGCCTGGAAGTCATACAGATCTTGCCAGCCTCTGCCTACTGAGTGATGGAACTAAAGTCTTGGGCTACTACACCCTGCCCCCTTTAAAGCTTTTTGTTGTTGCTATTGGTAAAGTCAATGCTTAGCCAGGAATTGTGGGCACACCTGAAATTCTAAAATACAAGTAGATCATGAAGTCAAGGCCAGCCTAGGCCACATAGCAATTGTGTATCAAAAACAAACCCAAAACCCAATGGCATCTGAGTTCAGAGGCATGTGTCTATAGTAGTCCCAACAAGATTCAAGTCTAATACTTTCCAAAGACTGATGAAATACTGCTCAAGAGCTATTTATCTATTGCAAACTCTTACTATTAAAATATAAAGGGTTAGAAAATCAAATATATACAGTGTTGATGCCTTTAGTGATTAGACAGGTATAAAAGACTAGAATTTTTTAAAAGATTTATTTACTTTGTACATTGGAATTTTGCTAGCATGCATTTCACTGTGAGGGTATCAAATCCCCTGGAACTGGAATTACAGTCATGAGTTGCCATGTGGATGCTGGGAATTGAACGCAGGTAACTGCTGAGCCATCTTTCTAGCCCCTAAAAAAAACTAGTATTTTGTTTATACACAATTACATTTATTTATTTTTTTTAGTGCTACATCTTTTTTTTTTTTTTTTTTTTTTTTTTTTTTGGTTTTTACGAGACAGGGTTTCTCTGTACTGTTTTGGAGGTTGTCGGTCCAGCCTGGCCTCGAACTCACAGAGATCCGCCTGCCTCTGCCTCCCGAGTGCTGGGATTAAAGGCGTGCGCCACCACCGCCCGGCTAGTGCTACATCTTAAACTCAGGTCCCATGTAAGTTAGTTACACAGTCTACCACTAGGCTATACATTCAACCTTAGTTTTCAAAAATATTTCAAGATAATTCACTTTCCTGAAAAATGCAGGAAAGTCTACATTTGGAAATATGAACTTCATTACTATATCTGGTTTTTAACTGCTGTGTAGCTTAGGAAAAAATGATCACACTCTAGTTTCCTCAGATGCAAAATAATAATACCAATCTATAAAGTTCTTAAAAAACAAACAAAACAAACGCAAAATGACTTCAAACTTGCTCTGTAGCTAGGGAATGACCCGACCTTCCAATCCTCCCATTGGTACCCCCTGTTAGGATTAGAAGCATGTGTCACTAAGTGGGGTTTATTCAGGGTTGGGGCTTAAACCCAGAACTTCTTGAATGTTAGACACTCTACCAACTGAGCTAAATCCTCAACCAACAAAATTCTTTTTGTTGTATAGCTGGTGGTTGTGGAGCCAACAAACCCCAATCTCAGGCCAAATATAATCAAGCAGTTGCAGCCGGGCGGTGGTGGCGCACGCCTTTAATCCCAGCACTCGGGAGGCAGAGGCAGGCGGATCTCTGTGAGCTCGAGACCAGCCTGGTCTACCGAGCGAGTTCCAGGACAGCCTCCAAAGCCACAGAGAAACCCTGTCTCGAAAAAAACCAAAAAAAAAAAAAAAAAATCAAGCAGTTGCACCCTGTATTCTGTCACCTGCCTGCTTGCCCATCTTTAACCCGCACTGTTCTTTTGAGGAGTGAAAAGGAGAGAGGATTAAAGAGACAAGATGGTATGCTCTAGAGAATATAAGGTATAGTAAATACAAAAATTTCCCCATATTTTTCAGATTTTTTCAACCTTAAATGTTTTTCAAAGCTAGAAAATTAACCTAACTTTGATAAAAATGCAATTTAGGCAAAGAGTACTGCTACAATAAATAATAAATTCATACTCTGTGTGTGGTCTGACAGCAGAAACACTTGCTGAGCTGGTACTGGGTTCCTCAGCAATTCCTCCACCATCCAAAAACATAGTGACCGCCATCTCTAGGTTATTGTTGCAAGCTTCCAGCATATGTTTTCCTACACTTTCACTTGCACCTGAAATAGAAAAGAAAGTTAAATATGACATCTTACAGTCAAGCTCACATTAAAACGTACAAGTCCCAAGCAATTAACACTCCTTCCCCCTTTAAAATGACTTGTACAAAAACGCATTTATTTACTTCTGTCCTGTTGGCTGGTTGATATAAATACACAGAGGCAGAAAATAACCAAACAATATCACAGCAGTACAGACTATTTTGCAACCAAAAATTTTTCCTTTTCCTTTTTTTTTAAAGTATGTGTGTGGTTTTTTGTTTAAGACAGGTCTCACACTGTAGCTCAGTCAAGTGTTCAACTCAAAAATCCTTCTGCCTTAGCCTCAGGAAGCTTATAAGAAGGAGCCACTGCCACCATGCCTGACTATTTGCCATTTCTTTGCTTATATGTGTGTGCATATGCATGTGACTGTACATGCACGGAGGTCAAAGGACAATACCTGGTACCGTTCCTTGTTTCTACCTTGTCAGACAAAGAGTCTCTTATCCACCACTACCTATCTTAGGCTAGCTACCTAACAAGCTTTCAGGAGATTCTCTAGCCTCTCATCTCAATGTAGGAAAAAGCACTGGGATTATAGATGTGTGCTATAGTCACTGACTTTACATAGGTTTTGGGCATTTGCATCTCCTTAACTCTATTTCCAATTGTTTTTTTTTTTTTTAATGGCTGAATTAACTAGTGTGGCGGTATGTACAAGCACCTGGGACTCTGGGGCAGGTGGAACTCTGAGTTCAAGGACAGCCTAGAACTATACTGTATAAACCTGTCTCAAAAACAAAACAAAGGGCTGAGCATTGGTGGCGCCTCCAAAACAATACAGAGAAACCCTGTCTCGAAAAAAAAACCAAAAAATAAAAACAAAACAAAACAAAACAGGCTAAGTATATTATTTGTTAGTAATAGTAAACTGAAAATGGGATAAAGAAAAATTAAAGCCTGCATTCTAGAAGGTTAGAAATATTTTCTGTTAGAGAGAATGCAATTCAATTAATATTTTATCTATTCAAAAGTTTTTGAAAAGGGATGGGGCTAGGGCTCAAACTCAGAACACATTTTTAACAACAAGAGAAGTAACCAAGACAATTTTGCCTAAGATATAAATATCTGGTAAGAAATGTCAATCTTTGCTATTTAAAACTGATCCAAACAATCATTTGTAAATAAAGCTAGCACAATCTGTTGAAATATAAATTGGTAAAGTCCTCTTAAAAAATTTTCTATTTGTACAAAGAAATTCCTTTGACTTAGTTGTACAGACTTCTAGAATCAAATCAACATGGAAATACTACGTGCATAACCATGTCCAGAAATATGTTCAGAGTACATTCAATTAATGAAACAAATTTTGAAACACAAAGCATCCTATAATAGTACAATGTGAACCATAGTATGTATTTGATTTAAATATTATGTGGCCACTGCAAACTACCCTGAGCTTTCTATATGGTATGAGTTTTCTTTATCTAAATTATATCCCTTTGAATCTCGTTCTGTTGGTGGCAAATGCTTTAAGATTTTTGTGAAAGCATCTTACTGACCATGTCATTTCAAGGCTGACAGCTGTTTTGTCTCAGTACACACAACAGAATTCCAATGTCTTCTGACTTCTGTTGCTACAGCTGGGAAATCAGTTGTCAGCTTAAAGAAAATTGTACTTATAGCAGTCTGTTGGTTCTAGAGCTTTTAAAGTTTCTCTCATTGGACTGCAGTTCCACTATGACTTGTCAAGATTAATCTTTACTTCTTGAAATTCACTGGATTTCTTTTCTTTTATTTCTGTTTTTTCGAAACAGGGTTTCTTTGTGTAACAGCCCTGGCTGTCCTGGAACTCCTTTTGTAGACCAGGCTGGTCTGGAACTCATAGAGATCCGCCTGCCTCTGCCTCCCCAGTGTTGGGATTAAAGGTGTGTCCCACTGCCCCACTCTATTTCAACCTTTAATTTCAATTACATCTATAATATAAAACATATACTATGACAATATACACTTTCTACAATCTTTATGGATCACTATCTCATATTTTCCTGGCTCTCATTTATTATCCAATGGCTTTGTTATTTTTAATTTGTTTTCTTTTCATTGTGTATATACCATTGCAGGACACTCTGAGACTGCCAATAAAGTTTAGCCTTGAATCAGGGGGTAGAGTTAGCAACTAGCTAACCAGAATTTGCCATAGGAGTTTGGGAGGATCCAGGATACATTTAGAGAAACACAGGAAATAGTAGAGAGTGGCTTAGAAAGATTTGTGAGCCCTTTTGAATTGGGGAAGGAGACAGAAAGGTTACTGGTCATTTTCTTATCAAGTTTTTATCCCGATATCTGACTTTGAGGGTTATTTAAAAATAATACAATGTAAGTAAATGCTTCAATATGTGTATGAGGAAATGAATTCAGAGAGGGTGTCAGATTCCCTCAAGTTGGTAGCTTTGAGTCAATGCATGTGCTTGGGTCCTCTGCAAGACTATTTTGTGTTAGCATTCAGGCATCTGTATTACCTGCCCTTGGATTTCAGACAGGATATGCCCTCAGCCGTAGTCACTAAGAGCAACACCTGTGCCTATTCACTATGTTGCCTTTTAAAAGGGTCCTGCCAACCTCCCTCGCCCTCTCCCTCTCCCTCCCTCTCTTTCTCTCCTGCTGCTCCTGTCCCTGTAGGCAGGTCTGTCCATCCCCTTTCCCCTTTTCATAATCCCTTTCTTCTAATTAAACTCTGTTGCATGGTGTCTTTCTTGCACCACTTTTCTAATTTACAACAGTTTGTTCTCTTAACTGCTGAGCCTTCTCTCTAGCCCTGTAATTTTTATTCTTTTTATTTTTTATTTGTATGTGTATCTACATAAGTGCATGTACACGTGTGTTCAGTTGCACACATCTAAAAGGACAGAGGCTATTATACAATTCCTTCCAAACCTCCTGAAGCTGAAGTTCCAGGCATTTGGAGGAGACCAGCTTGTTACATGGTGGGGTAGTCCTTAAGACTACACAGGTTTAGACACTGAGCCATCTCTCCACCTCCCACAGTCCCTGTTCCTTTTTTTTTTTTGAGACAGGGTCTCACAGTGTAGCCCAGGCTGGCCTCAAAATGAAGTCTTCTGGTTTGGCATCCCAAGTGCTGAGATTAGGGACCAGAAAGTTGGCTCAGTGGGTACACATATTTGCCATCAAGTACTGAAATTATGATCTGTGCCACCTTTGTCTAGGGTTCACTGTGATTTGTTTAGTATAGTGTGCTCTGGAATTTTTATCTGAAGACTGTTTTAAGCCTGGCATTGAAGGGACATCCTCCTAAAAGCTTGATGGATTTTGCAAGGTAAGCACAAGTATGATTAAATAAGAGTTGATAGTTGGCTGGAAATTTTTCAAAGACCACATGGGAAACATAACTCTGCAACAGGTCTTGTTAGACATCCTTATCCATACATGGGGCTCCATGCCAAGGCTGACATCAAAATGTCAGCTTCCTTGAACAGGAGTTCTTTTGGAGTCTCTTCAACCCTTGGACTTTATTTCTTATATTTTTCGTTGTGAGCCTAGCCTTTAACAGCTAAGCCATCTCTCCAGCCCTGGACTTTATTTCTTAGGCTTCATTATGCTATGAAAAGAAGTAAAGAAACAAAAAATCCAATTTGGGCAATTCCACAAGATGAAAGGCTGTAGTAAAGCTAGCTAACATCTGTACCAGGCACTGGTGATACACCTTTAATACCAGCACCTGGAAGGCAAAGGTAGGTGGATCCCTGTGAGTTTAAGGCCAGGCTGGTCTACAGACCATTCCAAGAGTCAGGACTACACAAAGAAACCCTGTCTCAAAAAATAAAAACAACAACAAAATGCTATCTAACATTTGCATTCCCAATTAATTTCATGTTTAGCCTCTTGATAGAACAATGATGAAATATAAAAGTTTTTAAAAATACACTTTTATGTGTATGAGTGTATGACTGTGTGTGTGTGTGTGTGTGTGTGTGTGTGTGTGTGTGTGTGTGTGTGTGTGTGTGTGTGCACAAAAAGGTCAGAAGAGGGCTTTACCACCCTCTGAAACTGGAGTTAAGACAGAAATGAGCCAACATGTGGATGCTGAGAACCAAACCCAGGTATTCTGAAAGTGCAATTAAATGTTCTTAATTGACATGCCATCAATTCAGTCCCCAATATCACACATTTTATTTAGCAATTTTTTTCTATGAGAGGAATTATGCATGATATTCTGCATTAGTCAAACTATGAAAAATCAAAGTACTAGCTCTACACCTAATATCTATCTAATTCACACTACCATACACTCACCCACCCACCCACATTTTTAAATAGTCTCTTATTGTGTAGCCTTGGATAGCTTGAAACTCACTGTGTAGAGCAGCTGATGGCAAATTCAGAGATCTGCCTGTGTTAGCCTCTGAGATTAAAGGTGTGTGCCACCACGTTCAGCTTATACATCTGCATCCATACTCATGCATGCGCAGTAGTAGCAGTAGTAGTAGTAGAAGAAGAAGACAGGGTCTCACTACGTAGCCCTTGTGGGCCTAGAACCCATTATGTAAAACGGGCTAGTTTCTACTACATCAAGTCCTTCACACTTTTTACTTAATTACTACAACAGGCCCCTAAAAGAGCATCATTCCGTTTTGCTGCTAGAGTATGCTCCAAAACACAAGGCTAATTATACCACTTATCCACACTTCCTTAATGACCTTCTCCAGACAGCTACAAGATAAATCCCAAAGCTTCATAGTCAGTCCTTCATGATAAGGTCTCAGTTTATTTATTTTGATTGCTTTGCCAATCTTCTCCATATAAAATTTACTAAACTCAAAAACAAACTAAAGCAGGATGATGGTAGAGCAGGCCTTTAATCCCAGCACTCAGGAGGCAGGGGCAAGAGGATCTCTGTGACTACCACGCCACTCCGGTCTACAGAATGAGTTCCAGGACAGCCAAGGCTACACAGAGAAACCCTATCTTGGGGGAAAAATAATGCTTGGGATGCTTAT